TCTCAACACTCACAGTTAAATCTCAGGGCGATGTCACCATAAATGTAAGTTAAGCTTTGAAAAATCCCCGAAACAAGAAATGTACTTTTTTTCCACATGAGGCTCAGTGCGACAGAAGTAAATGCAGAGATTCCATCTGACTTTTCCTTATGCTGAGGCACTGTTGTTGAGGATGTTAGTCAAGGACTAGCTGGCAGAAAAGGGTATTCAAACCTGATTTTTGTCTTTGCTTGGACATTGCTGGAATAATAATATTAAAATATCTAAATAAAAGAGAAAGAACAAGCCCAAGTCTAGCAGCTCTCTTTTTAAGGATCTTACACCCCTGTTACTTGGATTCCTTTCCAGGGGTCATCTGAGTGCAGGCACCCATAATCCTTTGGAGGCAAAGAGGGTGCTCTGGGGGCTACGCTGCCATTCCAAGCTGTAGACCTTGAGCATGTAGCACAGACACAGCTGTATGCTGATTTCTCATGTGTGTGTTTGCCCTGTTGTTGGCCTTGCAAACTCTGTCAGTACGTCTTTGTTCCCTTATCTCAGCATCCCTCTGCTAGCAGAACCTGTCCACACCACACTTCATCACTACGGCTTAGCAATGACTTAGCATCTAGAATTAAGGATCAAACGTACAGTAGTCTGCTCATAAAGTATTTTCAGCTCAGGTTGATGACCCTTTCAAACCATATTTTTAATGAGGATTATGTTTTATATTTATGATCTCCTTCCCTGAGCAGGCAGGAGGACTCTGTATGGGCTTGAACAACTTCCCACGCCAGGCAGCACAGCGTAACTCATTAATGATTACTACAAAACATGGATAATAATACAATAAATCATTTCAACTGCTGCAAAATTTGCACATGCAGCTCTTAACCTTGTTCTGCCTGATATGATGCAAAGGTATGTACCACCCAAACACAGGTCCAAAATGTGCCCACTGAAGGTAACAACCATGAAGCCAGGCTTGCAAATGGTACCTGCAAACCTCTTCCAGTGAGCTGCTTCCCCCAGTGTCACAGCTCCCTGTTAGAGAGATGTGTCAGGCAGCTGGAGGGAGACTGGAGATAGATTTACTGGAAGGATCAAGAAAGGACAGAAGGATAAAAGGCACTTTTCTTCCTGCCCAATCTTTATTCCCTGTCTCATACTCCCTACAGCCCCACATCTCACAGAGCTGCCACACAGCCCAGATCAGAGTTGTAGCCCATTCTCACCATGCCAGGTAGGGGAGATACAGGGGCAACAACTGTGCACATCCCTGAACAAAGGCCAAGCCTCTTCCATAGTCATGGAGACATCTTTAAAAAAAGTAAATGTCCTGTTCTCTATGTTGGGGCTCCCTGTTGAAAACTTCAAGGTTTTCACGCTCTTTTAGCAAGTCCTTCCAAGGACAGCATTTCCTATTGTACTGTGCCATTTTGAGAGCTCTTGAAATGCTGAAGCAAGCACCAATTTCGGTAGAATAGTGACATTTATGAAGTTAGTGGATAGGACTTGTGTGTGTAATGGCAGCACTTTCTTAACCAGTAGCTCCAGGCTGGGAAAGTAATTTCCAGGAAAAAAATAACTAGAAACTTACTGCTTCCAGACTGGCAGCAAAAATCATTTATTGTGGGAAAGCTAAGTTTGAAACCACTAAAACCCAGTAATTTCCATCAACTCTCTCTCTACCCCACACACAGAGATACATGAAAAGAGAACTTTCTGAATTAATTTCCTGGAATATGTAAGGCATCCTGATACCAAAAGTAACTCTCCTGGCCCAGAGAGACTATTGTAGAACGTCCCACAGGAATGAATGCAGCTCTTAGCAGTTTCTGTTTTTCAAAACAGCTGGTGTGACCGAACTGAATCCAGATTTAAACAGGAGGAGGGCATTGGCAAGATACTTTCAGTAACAAGGCCTTAAATCTTAGTTTATTCTCTGTACATAAGAGCTCCCATCTGCAAACCTTATGGTTACACAGAGTGGCTTTTTATGCTTTCCCAGCCTTCTCTTAGGTATAGTAAAGGTTGATTAAATCCATTCTGAGCTATGTTGTTATATCAGACACACCACAGTTGCATCTGTCTTCACTGTTTATAGAAATGAGTCAGGAAAGTAACATTTTAAATACTTATCCATGCTAGAACAGACACACTAAAAATTGCTTGGGTATAATGCTGTAAAAGTGTTTCACATATATAAATAAAATTTATGGGTAAATAAAATATATAAATTAAATATTAATGCCATGTTTAATAAAGCATGTTTCTGAAGACCTGCATTCTAGTTCCATCGTCTGTATTTAATACAAAACTGTGTTTATCCCCAGCGGGTGTGAGAGGCGAGCTGGATGCCTGACTCTGATTGCAATCTGCCAATAATAGAGCTATTTTTATGTGGTTAGCACAGGTTTCTTTTTTGATGAAGTTTTTGCAGACTGAGTGACACCAAATAATAGAAATATGTAAGCAGAAAAACATGCACTAAGCACAGGGAATTGGAACATCGTGTTGTCAGTGGTTAGAGAGCAAGAACTTCCCTAAGGAAATATTTAGAAAAACGTGTTTGTAACTATAAAAGCTGTAAGTGGAAAGCACCACGCATGGGCTTTGTGCTGTGCAGAGAGTGCCACCCTCTGCTCCTGCAGAGTATGGAGCCTTTCTCTCCTACCTGACTCTTCTTCTTCCACTAGTGCAATTCTCACACATGCAGTGAGTAACAGAATTAGCCAGCTGGGCAGGAATTCTACAAATGGCCAGTATTCCCTGGTAATTTTGGTAGGTCAGCTCTTCAATTGCATCATATGCCTTTTTTTTTTTTTCTCTCCTTTTTTTTCTTTTCTTCTCTCTCAGAGGAAAGATGAATAAATTTCCCTTCCCCTTTTAGGAACAAGGCCTTGTGGGTTCCTGAAAAAGACAATTTCCATTAAGGTCTGGCAGAGCTCACTTGGCGAGAAGGCAGCACAGCAGCTCCTGTATGCAGTCCAGTTGCAGGGTGAGAGAATGCTGCAGCTGGCTGTGGTTAAAGAATTTGTTGTGGTACCTTCTGATCCTTCTTTCCGAAGAAATAAAGAGTGCTCTGCAACAAGAACTCTAACAGGTTTGGGGATCAGCCATGGGCTTTCACTGCTGGAGACAGAGACTGCAGTTTACACAAGTTGTCTCCTGCAAATTTACAGGAATCCCTTTCCTTAAAGGCTAATTTATGAAAGTGTTTGACATTTTCTTTGGCTCTTTAAACAACTACCACGACATTCCTCTTCTGTGCTAAAAATTACATTACTGATGATAGACATCTTTCAGTATCAAGGATTCTCTTTCAAGCAGCCTGGTTAAGCCTGCTGCAGCTTTGAGACAATAGTCTCCAAACAAGTGGGGCTTTGGTGCTATGTGGTGGAGTAGCAAGTAAAAAAGAGATACTTTGGAGATTTACCCGAGCATTACATTGTTCTAGGGAGATGGGCTCAAAGTCAAGAAGCAAACATAGACAAATATTCCAGCTGAAGAGGACAGCTACTTTAGTGACCCAACAATTGAGCTCTCTGTTGGTTATTGTTTTCTGGTTTTGAGTTCTCTGCAAGAGTCAAAACTCCAAGCTTTTACATTCTTAAAAGAAAATCAAAACCAGATCATATGAAGATCAAGCATTCAAGTCTTCCTCACCATATTGTTTTTGACATCTCCTGTGGAAGAGTATCCAGTGAAGATCACTACTAAAGATTTGAAACTCTCATTCACACACGCAATTCTCAGGGTTTCATATGTCATCAGAGCCCACATATGGTTTGTGAGCTCAGTGCCAAACATGCATGCAGCCAAGAAGGTCAAACTTCATTTCACACTGGTATTGAGGCACAGCCTGGCATTGCCCATTCATACCAACATCTGGCTCGGGCAGCAGCACAGCAGGAGGCTATCCTGTGAATCCACATACACTTTCTCTGGATACCTCTGATCATCACGCTGGGAGCCTCTCTTACATCCAAGCATTTGCACTTGAGAACAGTCCTCTTCCTGACTTAGTTTGTAAAGTAATGGTCTCTCCCGAATAATGTCTAGAGAGCTGTGTAATGTGTGCAGGAAAACCCTCAGTTGCTGGCAATATCCAGGAGCTTGGTTAACAGGCTTGCAGTTCAAACAATATGCTGGTGTTTTGGTTTATGAACCCTCCTGACTTGTGGAACAGCCCCCCGTCTTCCTAGAGAAACAGCTCAGAGGATTCATGTTCATAATGAGGATAATTTGGAAAGGCTGATAACAGAGGAATACCTGGCAAAGCAGACACTGTTTTCCTGGCAATTATATTTAGGGTGGTAGTATGACGTTAGCATTAGTTTTCCTTATGAAATTACGTGGTCCGATGCACCAGCTCCCAGTACCCCAGAGGACTTGTGGGATGCCCGGCGCCAAAAAGACGCTGAAAACTCTAAGGACTGATTCATGAGGAAAGGGCCATTGGGAATGCTGAAAACCTGGCATTTACAGGACATGTCACTGGACTCTCCTGACTCAGACCTTGTACAAGGCAATGCAGGAACATGAATGATGCAGATACACAGGGCTGCGAGGAGCGCACCAGCTTCACAAAGAGATTTAAATTTTTAATTTATGCACAACTTAATTTTAATTTATGCAAGTCGGTGCCAGCCCCAAGCTCCCGACAGAAGAGCCGCTCAGCCGCCGACCCCTCACGAAGCCACGGTACAGCCCCGGGCGGGCGCTGAGGCGGCGCGGCCCGAGAGCCGCTCCCCCTCCGTCCCTCCCTCCCCTCCGTGCGCTGCCGGAAGGGTCCGGCTGGAAAAGCCGCCGCCTCTCCACGGGCCCGGCGGCCCCGCCGCCCCCTCGGAGCGCTTGGGCCTCGGCCGTGGCTGTGCCCGCGGGGGCCCCGGACAGCGGCTCGGGGCCGGCAGAACCGCGAGGCCCCGCGCGGGCCCGCGCTCGGCAGCGGCGGCAGCGCCCGGCCGGTGGCGGAGGGAGAACCGCGCTGCACCGCCCCGCCCGCCCCTTCCCGGCGCAGGCAGCGCCACGTCTCGGGCTGGAGCCGGCGCCGGGCGGGCGGCCCCAGGTCTGCGGGGGGCTGGCCGGGATGGGGGGCGGCGAGGGCGGCGAGGCGGGGGCCGGAGGCCGCTTCAGGCCGCGGGGCTCTCGGGGCTGCCGGGGAGCGGGGAACCGCCCGGCCCGGCCCGGCTCGGCTCCGCTCCGCGGGGCTGCGGCCCCGGGCCTCCCGCTGCCTCTGCCGGCACCCAGGGACGTGCCCGGCCCGGGGACCCCCGGCCGTGTCTGCCGGTGCCTCTCCGGTTCGTGACCGGGACCCGTTGTTGTCCTGGTTGTTCGTGTTTTAAGCAAAATCGGTGACTTTCGTACGGCTGTTTCGCTGTGGGGTTATTGCTGTGTTCCCGTGACGTGCCTACATCTGTGTGTGTGTGTGTGTGTGTGTGTGTGTGTGTGTGTGCTTGTGCCCAGCATGGGGATACGAAAGGACTCTGAGGCCAAAATACTCTACCGTTTAATATTGGGAATGGGTTGTACAGGAGAAAGCCATTCTTCATCACCTTGATAATTTAAACGTGTTTCATAACAAAGACGATACACCATCTCTCGTGTTGGCTGGATTTTGACAAGGTGTAAGGAGCCAAAATCTTGCTTCTCTTTTATCTGTAATTCCTCTTGGTAACCTGTCATGTAGCATCTATTTGTTGTTCAGTGGTAGTTCTAGGAGTATTATTGAAAGCTTTGGTATCTGAGAATCTTTAAATATTAGTAACAAATCACAGTGAAGGTATTAATTTTTTTGTTTGGTGGAAGTTTCCCATTTAGAAAGGTGCTGCAGGTTGTTGGCTCCTTCACAGCTCACCTTTGTAAGAGTCACCTACATAACTGTGTGTTTTCCTTTGTGCCCTGAGCTGTTTGCTGCTTCAGTAACAGTTTGGAGGTGATGGTGGAGTTGCAGGGTGACCAGGGCAGTGTGGAACAGTAGCAGTTACACAAGTGCTCCTTGGAGATATGGAAGGAATGTTGTTCAAAATGTTTGTGTTTATGTAAAAATGCAGTCAAAGTATTCCTGATTTGACATTCTCCAACACCCCCCTCCGAGGTTAGATCTGAATACCTGAAGAATCATATACAAATTCCATAAACTGTGTTTGGAAATCCTTTTGTTGGCTGGCACAGGAGAAGGAGAATGTTGAGCTGCAGCCCAGGCCGTGTTCTGACTGCCAGCTTGTGCTGCAATGAGTAGTTCAGAGTCTGTAGAGTGATTCATACTTGTTATTCTGCAGGCAAGTAAACAGTAATGATGTTATTTAATTTTTTAAAAAGTAAATCTGAATTCCATACTTAATTTTAACAAAAGATATTGAAACTCATTCCTTTAAATGAAGTATGTGGTGTGTTTCTATGTATATACTGTAATTTACAGAGGAGAATACTACTCTGATACTGGCTTTGTTCTTAAAGCAGAGGCCAAAGAGATCTTTCCATTAAAAGGGACAATGATTTTAAATCAGCTGTCTTGCTAAATATTATCTGTTGCATCGTTCTGCAGTGTGTATGTGCTACTAAAATAGTGAGCATAAACAGATCACTTTTTATCCCCAAGTCTGGATACTTGATTGTATTTCATTGTCTCTGTTGTTACTGCATGTCCTGGTGCTGTTTGTGGGCACTACTTTATTTTTAACTCCTATTTTCAGAGCTCTAGTAAATGTTTGTAAATTCACTGTATTTTGTTTCTAGACGATGCAGCTCCTTGGTGATTACAACTTTGGCTGCAAGCTGTTTCCATGATGTGGAGTTAGCAGCTGCCTGCTGCACGCCAACAGCTCTACAGCTCAGAACTGTGTTCCTGTGTGACATCTTGATGCTGTTCTTGCTGATGGAGAGAAACAGGACTTGGTAGTTCACTTGGTGGCAAATTGTTGAGAAGAAGAACTTCCAGGGATCTGGATCATTTTTACCATGGACTCCTCATCTGTGCAGCAGGATGTTCACTTGGAGAGCAGAAGCAGTATTGGGGCTCCCAGCAGCTCTGAAGAACTTTTGGATTGTAAAGCCAAGTCACAGCTAGCTACTACAGATGAAATTAACAGTAAGTTATTTAATATTCACCAAATAATTTCCTAGTCTTACCTAGCCTTTTATATAATCATCTGTGTTATTGTTCAGGGCAAGTTTTTCCTTGAGGGCAGGAATCTCTTGTACAGCAGTTTTAAGCAAGTTTGGTGAAGTCTATAACTCTGTGTGTATGTAAAACTGATTTTTTTAAGCTGTAGAACTTGTTCTTTTGAAAGCAAAACCAAACTATTAACGTAAATACTATCAGCTGCCAGATGAGTATTTGTTGTTCAGGGTGTTAGTCTGTCTTCAGATAATGTTTCCAAGAGTGTACACCTGAAACTCTCTAGAACGATCCGTTCTGAAGTGACTGTTCCAGACTAGGCTTGTGACTGGAGTACTTTATTCTGGCAGAAGAGATCTTCCTAATAAATTAAATCACTTGGGCAAAACTCAAAATGTCTGGCTCTGCTTCCCTTTATGAAAGAGAGATACTGGCATGTACCCTCCAGTTTATCTCAAAGTAACTTTTATACGTAGACAAGCTCTATAATAAAATCATCATGCAGCTGTTTATGAGAAACTATTTAGAGTCCACTATCTGAGTAGATTACAGAATCAAACTTGAGTTGGAAAGGAGCTGTGCAGGTTATCTAGTCCAACCTGCTGCACTGAGCACACCTAGTTCTGGAGCAAGATCAGGTTGCTCAGGGCCTTGTCCTGTTGAATTCTGAGTGTGTCTGTAGAGGGAGGTTCAGCAGCCTTCCTGCCCATTCCAGTATTTAACTGCTTTCCTTGTGAAAGTATTTTCCCTGCACTGAATTGAAATCTCCATGTTTCCTTGGCAGGAGCATGAGGATATGTTAGTGTATAAGGGTGTGGGGGTGGCTGGGTGGAGAGGTGTGTACATTGTGGCTGTGTGGATACACAAAAACACAGTGGTTCCTTGTGTAAAAGGAGGTGACGTGGTGGGGTTGGGACCTTCTGGTACCACAGGTTTGTCACAGGCAGCAGAGAGGAGGCCCTGACGCTTTATTTGCTTTTCTTATGCCGCCTGTTATCAGAGTGGCAGAGTGTAGTTAGGTGATGATTCATTCATCTTTTATGGAGCTGGAGATCACACGTTCCTGTCATCTCCTGTGTTGGACAATCGAACTATGGCTTACAGATAGATAGTTTGTCTTTCTACTGTTTTTATTCTAATTGCATCTTCTTGCCCATTGTTCTAAAAAGACTGCAGCTGTATTGACACTGCCTTTAAATTACTTTAGTTCAAGGAGTGTTTAGATTCCGAGTGTCTCCTGGCCTCAGGAATTCCTCCAGAATTTTGCTCCAGCATCTCTTTGGTATATGTATACCACTCACTGTTGTGAAGAAAAAAATGTGAATAAAGTATAAACCTGATGCTTTCTGAGATGAGCAGAAACAATATTTCTTAATGTATGAGCTATCTTATTTTTGGCTTCTTGTGGCTATTCTTTGTATTGACACCTATTTTAAATATGGGTTTGCCGATATTATAGTTTTAAAATGTTAGTAACTAAAAAGCAGTCTTTCCCTCTGTCCTCCTTTACATCCTTGTTGAACTCACCCCTTCTATCATGCCTGCAACTGTTTTTGTGACAACACGATGATCTAAATCAGAGAAGTGATTAAGGCTAAATGAAGATATCCTATTTGAAAAAATGTAAACTGTTTAAAATTGAGAAACTGCTTGGGCCAGGCTGGGAATCGGGATGGTGGTTGCTCTCTCCCCAGTGCCCAGCTGCACATCAAAGAGCTGAATCATTCAGCACAGGCCTGCAGCTGCTGAGGCTTACTTGTAGTAGATTGCTCCTCAGTTCCTTACACTTGGTGTTTCATACTTCTAAACCTAACAAGATTTAAAAACCTTTGTGAAGTTTTGAAGATACTTTATATGATGACTTTTGAGGTCCTACTTCAGGGCAACAGTGTAAAGAAAATGAAAAGTGCTTGTTCTGGTCATTTAATGTAAAGAATTTAAAATCCTCTCTGGAATTTCTCCTGCCAGTTGCTGTCAGTAGCAGTTTCCATGTTCATACAATGTAAAGGCAGTAGTGTTGGCATTGTATTTGGATGCAGCTATGAAGATGAATGAGGTGGCTTGAAGTGTAGCTCAGTAAAACTTTCTTTTCCAGCTACCAGTAATAACATCAATGAAGTGCCAAATGAAGAGGGAAGTCTGGAGATAAACAGCAAAGTGGATGCCTGCCAGAATGGGCCAGAGTCGCTCTGCCCCGACTCTCCTGTGTCTTTTGATCCTACCAGCAGTGAGCAGGGTGAAGAGTCATCCCCAGGTGTGACTGGTTTCCATGACAGCCTAAGGAAGTCTCAGGGAACTAGTGCTGAGGGCGTAGCTCTTAGAAAAGAAGCTTTGCAGTCTCTCAAACTAAGTCTTCCCATGCAAGAAACTGAATTGTGTAAGCATCTGTTTATGGTGGTGCCCCTGCTTTCTCTTGCTGCATAAAGCTTTTTACTCTGAGCCTGGCTCTGGACTCCTGTAACATCATTTAAGCTTGAACTAAACTTCATTTTTGCAGTAAACTTACTTAGAACTACAATTCATTTTTTTCAGTAAACCACCTCTGCTGCAGCTAAGGCATGTGCCTTACCATTTAAAACTGGCTCTTCACTGGAGGGGAATTCACGCTTTCTGGGGCTGAAGCTATTCTAATCTTCTTGATTATTAGGAGTAACAGGTGACATTAAAAAAAAGAACAGCAGAACCAGGTGATTTTAAGCTAAAAAAAAAAAGGAAAGAAGAGCAATGAAGGGGGGAGAAGGGAAAGCCTTTATATTAAGGTGTCTAAAAGTCTTATTACAGGAATTAATATGAGTTAATAAAAGGTAAGAAAGTGTATCTAGGGAAGAATTTTCCACAACTTGTAGGTAATGAATGGACTGTGCAGTTTTGCTTAGTTTTATAATTTTCGTACTGTCAGAAATGCAGCACAGGTGAGATTAAATGACAGCATTATTTTTTTTCTTGCTGTAATCTCTTGTCATGTATTTGTGGAGGAGCTATAGCATTTGCAAATGAAGCAGTGGAAGTCCATAGGCTTTTTCAGTGCTTACACAAGAGTATATTTGAAGAGGGTCGTTTGAGGTGCATGTCAGTGGGCTTTCCCTTCTTTTCCTTGCTTAAGCATGAAGCATGTTGCTGATGGTAGAAGGGGCTTTTACCTTTTGCATGCCTTTTGCCTGTGTTGGCGTTTTCTGTTTGACTGTGAAGATACCTTTCCCTTACAGGCTCAGTAGAGTCTTCACTGCCATTGGAAAATGAAGAACAAATCAGACTTCAGGCAAGAAGGCGTCTGGAAGAACAGCTCAAACAATACCGAGTGAAGAGACACCAAGAAAGAGTGAGTACCACACAACACACCTTCTAGATTGTGCTTTGTAGAGAAGCTTGAAAACTTTACCATTCTGTGCCTTGAATTAAAACATTCAGTAGTTTTCTCAAATGAGAAAAAGCATTTTTTTCTTCGGGACAGGCAAAATTTGGTTCTATTACCTCATCAGTAAAGTACCATTTTGTGCTACTTAAAGTAGGGAAGGAAAAAACAGACACCAAACTTAAAGTAACCTAGATGTTAAATTTTGCCTATATTTTTCAGTTATCTTTCAGAGTGTCACATGAACATTTTCAACATCTGTATACCGATGCTTAATAGGCTTGATTGCTGATATAATTTACCTTGTTTATGAAAGGATGTATGTTTAATATCAGTGTAAAAGTGTAGAGCTTCATAACTTAAGTTACAGCAAAATAAGTCTTTGATGCTATTTCAAAGTTAACATCCTGGAATTTATTGTTGCCTCTTTGCTTCTTTTAGTCGAGTCAGTCTACATCCAAAACCCGTCCCTCCAGCACCCTCGATCCTGAGCTGATGTTAAATCCAGAAATCCTGCCAAGAGCCAGCACTGTAGCAATGACAAAAGAATACTCCTTTTTGCGGACCAGCGTTCCCAGGGGGCCAAAGCTGGGTAGCTTGGGCCTTCCATCATCCTCAAAAGAAAGAAGAAGCTCAAAATCTAAGGCCAGCAAGATCCGATCCTTGGCTGACTACAGAACTGAAGATTCAGATGCTCGAAATGCTGCTGGGAATTCTGTGGCTAGTGACTTACCTGGGGGGGCTCTGATGCAAAGCAGAAGTGGTCCAACATCAGTTGTTTCTGAGATCAGTCTGCCTTCTGACGTGGATGATCGAGTAGAGAATTCCTCCTTGGCAGGAGACAGCATTTCAGAGATTGACGGGAGTGAAGTGGGAATGAGGCTGGACGGAAATGAGAGCGACAGCTCTACCTACAGCAGTGTGTCAGGGAAAGGGCTGTATAGCAGTTCACAGAATGCAGAAGGCAAGCAGGATGCTCCATATACAATAAATGGCCAGAAGATTCATCCTGAAGCAATGGGGCAATTTCCTTCCATCAGTGAGGTGCTGCAGGCTGCAGCAGTGGAGCATCAAGCCCAAGAGCAAGAAGTTAATGGAGAGGTGCGGAGCAGGAGAGACAGTATTTCTAGCAGGTAAGAATGATCTATTGTTAGTTAATGATATTTTCTTGGAATAGGCATCCTCCTGCTAACTTTAGATCTAGTTTTAACTTACACTGTGATTGAGTCTGTTATGAGCTTACAAATTCTAAAAGAACCTGAGAGATCGCTTCACTTGAGTACCTATTTACTAAGTGTATCTTTAGAGAAAGATATTTTTTGCCACTGGCTGTGTTGAATGTACTGCAAGCAGTTGTTTCTGTCTATATAGAAAGACTTCATTCACTGAATCACTCGTGAGCCTTGGTCTATAAAGTCTGAAAGTGTAGACTTGACTGTCTCAATGATATTTAGTATTGTCCTTTTCCCAGTCTATGCAGGTACCTTTCAGAGCTCACATAGTTAAGAAATGCCAAGTCTTGTCCTAGATATCCTCTTCATCCCTTTGAGAATGAGGTTTAGTCTCCCAAGCCTATGTGTATATGACAGGTATTAAACTGATTCAGAAAGCAAGTGCATGACTGGTGAAGCCCTTAACAATGTGTGCTTTTTATCAGTTGTCTGCAGATGCATGTTTTATACATCCTACTTTTGAAAATATCTCCTCCCCCCGCTTTGTTGGAATAAAGTGTCATGCCCAGAGATGTTGAGGTGTACAATCAGTTGTTGGTGATTATTCTGACTTAGATTTATTTCTTAGGGTAGTGAGAGAAGATCTTTTTCTCCAGATGCTTTGGCTGTACAGTAAGGAATCAGTATAAGGAATCCCTTATGCCAAATATCTGTTCTTCTGTCTTTTGCAGCAGCTGTTGGTATTTCTCAGGCACATTGAAGCAGACAGTTACAAGAATAATTGTGGAGGTTTTGTGATCCCATCGTGTCCAGTTGTCTGCTTAAAATGGGATCTGAAAATAAAGAATATGACGAAGTCAGTGATTGCACTTCTGTAAAATAACAAATATGTGGTGCCACACTATATTCTAGTTGCTGCAAGTACAGGAAACTAAAGTATAAAACCTTAGCATGAATAGAATTTCTTTCTCTTTTTAACAGAGGCTGTTACACTGTGTTCTGGATCTATCATAAAGCCAGAAAAAATGTCCTACAATCTAAGCCACATGGAGTCTGAGTACCTCTTAATTTCAGAGTCACTTTTCTTCAAGTAGATGAGTGCTGTATTCTAACCCTGTAACTGTGCTTGTGCTGTCTCTGTCTCCAGTGTTTCTATGGAAAGCTCTATCGCAGGAACTCATGACGAGATGTTGCAGGTTATGAAGGAGAAGATGAGACTTGAAGGGCAACTAGAAGCACTCTCACTAGAAGCTAATCAGGTAGAAAATGAATTTGGAATTCTGTATTCAGCAAATCAAAACAATATTTTAATTAATTTCTAAGAACCTCTTGCTCATTACTTGTGGAGTTATGTTTTGTAAAAACATTGTTGAGTAAGGTACTTCACAAGAATGCTGTGTGGGCTGATCCTGGCTGGATGCCAGGTGTCCACCAAAGCTGCTCTGTCCCTCACCTCCTCAGCTGGCCAGGGAAGAGAAGAAATAACAATGAAAGGCCCATGGGTAGAGATAAGGACAGAGAGATGGGAAATCTCAACTCCAGAGCATGGAGCACCTCCTGCCCCTCCCTCTGCACTGACCTTGGTGTCTGCAGAGCTGTTTCTCTCACAGTTTTCTTTCTTATCTTTGCTGTTGCTCTTTTATGTTTTTTTTTCACTTTCTTTAATCCCTCATCCCAGAGGTTCTGCCACTGTCAGCTGATGGGCTCAGCTTTGGCCAGTGGTGGGTCCATCTTTGAGCCAGCTGGCCTTGGCTCCACTGGAAAAGGGGGAAGCTTCTGCCAGCTTCTCACAGGGTCCACCCCTTGTAGACCCCCAGTACCAAAATCTTGCCATGTAAAACCAATACAGATGCTGAAGGGGATAAGTATAAAGTTGGTAAAGTCTTCAAAGATTACTTTAAAAAAAAGTGGGGTTTTTTGTATGTTTTTTTTAAGTCAAATTAAAAGAGAGACAATAAATCTGGAGCAGTGCTAGCAATGTCTTTATAAATATTTTCTCTTTGTTTTAACTGATGGTATAGCACTTCAAATAGAAAGCATTCTTCCTAAAAGTGTGGAAATATGTGCTTAATAAAAAATCCTGATGTGGTTACTGACATACAATGCTCTATATCTTGTATGTCCTTTCCTCTGTTTTCTCTGATTATTTGAAATACCTGATAGGTGAGGTGTTGCTTTAAAAATAATTTTTTACAAGCAAGTGGTCTTTGCCTTATCAAAGCCATTTTGCTGGGCATCTTTTTTTAGTCAGCCACTAATATATTTTCTCATGAGACTCCTGCATTTTGATTTTCTGGACACATTCAGGCTCTCAAAGAGAAGACTGAGCTACAAGCCCAACTTGCAGCTTTGAACATGAAGCTTCAGGCACAGATGGAACACAGCCAAAACAGCCAGCAGAAGCAGGAATCCCTGAGCTCAGAAGTGGCCACATTAAAGCAGTCTTGCTGGGATCTGGAACGAGCAATGGCTGACCTGCAAAATGCCTTGGAAGCAAAGAATGCCAGTTTGGCTTCTTCAAACAATGATTTGCAGTTAGCAGAAGAGCAGTACCAGAGACTCCTGCAGAAGGTTGAAGATATGCAAAAAAATGTTCTCACCAGAGACAGTACAGGTGGGATGATTTAAATGTCAGTCTTTAAAATTTGTTGTTCCAGAAATTATTTTATTTCAACTTTATTCTAAAGTCCAGGAAGAAGAAGAAGAAGAAATTTAAGCTTGTGTTTATTTGGTATAGTGATAAAATGGTCTGAATTTTAAGATGTTTGGTTTTTATTTTCTGTCACAGAAGTGTCACAATTTGCAAGCTGCCACTGCCAGCCTGGAGAGGGAGGTATAAACATTTAGTCCAGACAGTGGCCTAGTTGTTTTTTTGGAAAATTGTACAAATGCTGATTTGTAATGATGAGTGTACGTGCCAGGATACCTACTTCCTGATGTTTAGTTAGTTCATATTTTCTGCCTCTAAGGAGCTGTGAATGCTTACAGAAGTGATTCATTTAGTTTAATTTTATTCTCCTTATGACCTGGTACTTTTGATTCTAGCACTTTGGCAGGAAAAGCCAATCTTTATATAATTGGGCATATGTGCTTTTGTTCAACAATAAAGGAAAAATAGAAAAAACTGAATATAGCAATAATCCTTGGAAAAGTGTGCGTAGAAATAGCACAATGGGGTGTGTTAATCCAAGTTCTTTATTTTTGTTTTTCTAGTTCATGACCTGCGACAGCAGTTGGCTTCCTTGCAGACCCAGCTTCAGAAGGTGCAGCTGGAGCGGACCACGCTGACCAACAAGCTGAAGGCATCTGAAACAGAAATCACATCTCTCCAGAATGTGAGGCAGTGGTACCAGCAGCAGCTGGTCCTGGCACAGGAGGCCCGTGTCAGGCTGCAGAGTGAGATGGCCAACATACAGGTATTGGGATTTATTGCATATGGGAGAGCTGACAATCTCTTTTTTTTTTTTTTTTTTCAGTTTTATCCACAGGACAACCTAGTGGCCTTCTACAATGGCCTCACTGCACCAGTACCTGAAAGCAGTAGCTGAAATAAGGCACACACAGTTTCAACACTATGGGTTTTTTTCTGAAATTCTGTTAGTATTAATCTGTGATTTTTTTTCCTTCCTTTAGGCCGGGCAGATGACTCAAGCAGGGATGTTGGAACATCTCAAACTAGAGAATGTGGCCCTTTCTCAGCAGCTGACTGAAACCCAGCACAGGTCCATTAAAGAAAAGGAACGTATTGCAGCACAACTACAAAATATTGAGGTATGATTGTAGATGGTTTTCATGAGTTATGTTCTGTCCAGGTTTTATATTTATGTTTTGTAAAATCAAGGGTATTCTGGCAAAGTTTCATAGAATTCTTACAAATTGGTTCAAATCCTGCTTTATAAAAGCAATAAATATTTCAGAGCAAATAAATTTGTGTGGCATTATGAACAGTAAGAGGGAACAAGGCCATATATTTCCCATTCAAAGGTGATATTTGCATTTTCAGTTCTGGTATTTGTTTTTAATTGAACTTTGAAGGTAAATGTAAATGTTGTTCTTTGCCCATCCATTAACTTGTTCAAGAGGAAACTTAATTGGAAGTTAATCTAAATCAGTAATGTGCTTTTTTAAGTGTGTGAAAGTGCTCAGTAATCAGGTTTGTCCTTCCTTCCTTCCCTCCAGTAAGAAAAGTTGGGTAAAATCTAAAGTGCAGTATGGTCACTTCCAAAGCTCTTAGAACCGTAAATTCCCTGATTTTCAGTGACATTTCTGCTTCTGAGTCTCAAAGGAGAGTAAAGCAGCAGGTTAGTGGAAGCATCCCATCTGCAGTGTTACTGCAAATAGCTTGTGTAAATGACAGGACTGCTCCCTGAGTAGCTACAGCATCCAAGGAATCCCTTTTGGTTTACAATTTCCCCAAACAGTTTAATTTTAATAAAGATTCTTTGCCTTCATGTCTTGATCATCAACTGAGAAAGGACATGGTGTTATTTAATAGGAATTCAGATTGTCACAAGTATGCAAGACATTCCCTATTATTCTAAGATGTTTTAAGTGTAGGAATGAGTGACTTCAGTAAAGGCAGGTGTGTAAGGCAGACATCAGAATTATTTTTGTGTTTCCTCTACAAACTTTCTTGATAATTTACTTTTCTCTTTTACTGTTTTTTTTTCCCTCTCCTTCCCCTCCATTAAAACTGTAGAAGTTGATTCCATGCTTTTTCTATGCAGGCTGACATGTTAGATCAAGAAGCTGCCTTCATGCAGATCCAGGAGGCTAAAACCATGGTGGAAGAAGACTTGCAGAGAAAACTAGAGGAGTTTGAGGATGAGAAAGAACAGCTTCAGAAAATGGCTGATTCTGCAGCAACATTGGAGCAAGAATTGGAACAGGTAGACTGTTGTTAATCAACTTCCCAGGAATTCTTAGGGAAATACTCGTTTGGCAGAAAAAGCAATAGTAAACAGATACTGAGCTCTAAATTTCTTTTTAAAACCTGAAAGATTGCTGCAAAAATGAAGTGTGTATTAAAGTCATTCTGTTCCAGGTGAAAAGGCCTTTTTTTCAACCATGTCAGTAATAATACTTTTTAAAAATTTCCTAACTACTGTCGTGCCAGGTGCTGGGTTTTTTAGTGAATTCAGTATGTGATTCTTGTAAGTATAGACAAGAACCATAGATCCATGTTCAAAGTTGTTAGGTAGTCAGAATATCATTACACACATTTACACTTACAGAGCCCTGCTTTATCTTGTAACCTTATGCAGGCAGCATGTCAAGGGCTGCAGTGACATGAGATAGCTCAGTACTATATTCCATGTAATGGTAGGGTGTTATTAATAATGCTGAATTTACTGTGGACACATTTTTCAAGTAAAACTTTTGTATATAATGAATATTCTGAATATTTTAGGTTTGTCATTCTGGTCATTGCTAAGCCTGTAAGGTAACAGATGCTGCTCAAGGCAGTCAATACCAATAACAAAGCAAATAGAAATGGCCTAGGAAAGATATAAAATACTTTCACCTTCTGCTATTTTCTTCTACAGGCTAAAATATTAATTATAATACTTGATTTTAATAAGAGTGCTTTTCTAAAGATAACCTTTGTTTTGTATTAATTTAATCTTAAAATATTTCCTGTCAGGCCAAGTTGACTTTGCATCAGCGAGATCTGCAGCTTGAATCCTTGCAGCAAGAACACCTCGACCTGATGAAGCAATTGACTCTAACCCAAGAGACACTGCACACCAAAGAGCAGTCCCTGGATGACCTGCAAACACAGTATGATGAACTGAAGGCCAGGCTAGAAGAGTTCCAGAGTGATGCTGCTTCTAAAGATGACACGATCCAGTATTTGCAGAATGAGAAGATCGTGTTGGAAGTCGCTCTGCAGGCAGCAAAAGCAAGTAAAGAGCAACTTGATGAAGGAGCAACACGTCTTGGAGAAGATACAGAAGTAACATCACAGATCTTGGAGCAGCTGAAGCAAGAAATGGCAGTCAAGTCAAGCCAGGTAATGATCTTTCTGAAATCTTACCAGTTTTAAAACACAATAATTGGGAGTTCAGGTCACAGTTTGGGAAGTAATTTTGTAATGTGCTCTTTTCTGTGGCACTGTGGACAATTTCCTATGCAGTAATTTGGCTCCCAGTGTGGTGACCTGGTGAATGTATTTTTGTATAAAATGTTGTGTTCTCTAACCATTGAGATGCTTAGTCAGAAACAGCATCCTTGTTTGATTAGGCAATTGTTACAAACCAGACACATATGCTTGCTGTAGAAATCGGGTATAATACGACATTTGGCACATAAAGCAATGTTTTCTTTTTCCCCATCTGGCAGGTGGAAAATCTGCAACAAGAAAATGCCAGCCTCAAAAAACAGCTTCAAAAAGTAAAGGAACAGTTCCTGCAGCAGAAGGTAAGCAAAAGCAAAGAAATTTCAGAGACATAAACCCAAGGAATACACTTTTTACAGTAAAGGCATGTACTTCTGGGGAGGTTATGAAGATATTTAAATCTATTTTTTGTATCACAGAACTTTGTGACTTTAAAATACAGAAACTGTATAACTTACAGTTGAATTTCTGTCTGCAGCTAATGTAAAAGCTGATCCACCAACCAGTTCATGCTTTGACAGGGCTACAGGAGTTTGGCAAGTGATCCACCACAGAAAATCTCTCTTAGGTTTATTGATTAGGTTTGCTTTTCAAAAGCACTTGGGAATTCTCAAGTGTTGTCATTTCCTTCCAGCTTTGAAAAATCATAGTTGCTTCAGTAATTAGATAGTAAATAAGTGCTTTACTGCTAATTTTTTTCTGAATTTACACAGTTTTGGAACAGTAACTTGAAATGGATATGTCATTAGTGCTGCATATGTACGTGTCTTGTTTATAAGGTGGCACCATTAATTTGCTGCTTGATTGCTTATTAACCTAATGTCAAAGTTTGTTTTAGCTTGTTATGTTTAAGTTTGGAAAGGCTGTTTAAACTGTCAGTCACAGTTAAGCCTTTTTCTCATGGCAAAAGTTATTAGTTGCGTGCATGGGATGGTTAATTTTTTACAATTAATTTGGTTTTTAAAAATGGCACATAATTAATGCAGTTTCCATGAAGAATGTGAAGTAGAGTATCTTACTGCAGAGAACACTGAGGTGTTTCATTGAATGAACTGTTAATATGAACTGTTACTTGATATCTGAGCTTGCATAAAAGCGTTTGAACCAGAGTAAATATCAGAGAAGCTGATGCTGTTTATATGACACCCCCCACCCCTTCAAACTAAAAGAATATCGCTAAATATTTTCTAGTAAATCAGTAAAAATCTGCAAAGCTGAAACAGAAGTGACATTGTCCTCTTGAAACTCTTGTGTGCAAGGTGATGGTGGAAGCTTATCGAAGGGATGCGAGTTCCAAGGACCAGCTCATCAGTGAGCTGAAAGCGACAAAGAAGCGGCTGGACTCGGAACTGAAGGAGACAAAACGAGAGCTGCTGAAAATCCGAACTGAAAAACAGTCACTCGAATCTGAGCATTCAAAACTACAGAAAGAAGTATCTCAGGTTCACCAGCAGATGGTGGAAATAGAAAATCACCTCCAGTCAGTGCAGAAAGAGCGAGATGATATGGAAACACGCCTACAGGTATGGAAGTGTAATGTTCTGTACTTGGAGAGTGTTACATCCAGGATACACACAGAATGACTACCTGCAAGTTAATGTTCTTGGTTATATGTTTAAAATAGTCTAGACATTTCAACATATACCTAGCAAAATTCTGTAAATGCATGACTGCTTAGTAACATCTCGTGTAAGTAGGTGGGGAGAAGCACTACAGGAGTAGTAGAAGACTGATGTGGAAGCAATTTCCTTGATCCTAAAGTGAACTCCATCTGAGAACAAAATGCAAACACTGTTCATCTGTGTTAACAGTGTTGGCCTCAGAGGGAAGAGTTAAAGAGGAAATAAAAGGGAAAGAAAGTATGGAGAGCTGGAGAGCAATTTATATTTAGAAATGGAAATAATTTTGAAATTTCATGATTTTTCTTTTGTAATCAAACATACACAGCAAACATGCTTTTGTTCCTACGCTCATGGGTCTTCTTTTCCTTCTGTTAAGTCTTTGCAGTTTGATAAGGAACAAATGGAATCTCTTGCTGAGGCAAATCAGGCATTAAAACAACAAGTAGAACAAATGCAAGAAGAAGCAAAAAAGTAAGTTTTCTTCTAGCACAGACGAAAGAACTTCAGCATTTGGTTCATATTTGGATTTCAGATGTTGGGTTTTGTTGGGTCATGTGAAAAATTAATCTTGTAGTACTATTTGTCAAGCAGCTTTTGTTTTTACCTGATGTTTTCTTTTCCTTTCACATCAGGGCCATTACAGAGCAGAAACAGAAAATGAAGCGTCTCGGGTCAGACCTGACGAGTGCTCAGAAAGAGATGAAAGCAAAACACAAAGCCTATGAGAATGCAGTCAGCATTCTCAGTCGGAGGCTGCAGGAATCTCTTACTGCAAAGGAATCTGCTGAGGCAGAACTGAGCAAACTAAAAGCACAAATAACTGATGGTGGGAATGACCAGATTGCTCAGGTATGCAGATGTCCTTTGACATTGTACAAAGACAGAGCTATAAGTCTTGAAATACTATTTCACCCTGAAGTGATGAAAACATTTGGAAAATAAAACTAGATAAGAACATGGTGTCAGGGTTCTGAGCACTGAGAACTTCTTTAACTATATTTGAGATTATTTGGCTAGGTAGATTTACTGATTAAATTTTTATTGTTGGTTGGTTTTTTGATGAGATTTTTTTCTTTTTTTTAATGGTTAGTATCTGAAGATTTTCCAAGAGTCTAGCTCTTACTGCTTTTTTCTCTTGAACAGCTAAAAGTTTTTCAATATACCTTATTTATATATGTTAGGTCTGTAATAAGAAAATTAATTTACTGAGGGAAGCTCCAATTTCTTGAACCAATGGAGCAAGATATCAAATACACCAACAGCAGTAGCTGGATGCAAAGGTGGAAAGCTCTGAGCAAGACCTCTAAATTAAACACTAGCACCTAATTTCATATTTGCTAGAGAAGCAGGCTTTTTAACCAAAGCAGAAGTGACTCCTGAAGATGGATGATGCACTAATCACGTGTGACCCCTTTGTCTTTAGGAGAAGATTCAAGCTCTAAAGACAGAACTGCGAGCTGTGAACAGCAGTAAGTTGATGCTGGAAAAAGAGTTGCAAGAAGTGATTTCACTGACAAGCCAGGAGCTTGAAGAATACAGAGAGAAAGTGCTGGAACTTGAAGATGAGGTGATTGCTTGAATTCGCTTGGTAGATGGACATGTGACAGAAAAAAGTGCCTGAGAGAGGGAAAAATTTTAGTACCAAAATTTTATTCCAACTGTGGTGAAGGGCAGAGTCATGGATAGGAAACATCATGTCTATGGTACTTGCAAATTTTGTTGCCTTGTGCTGGTTCTCTGTGGTTTCATGAGTCACTATCATATAGGGGAAGAGGATGAGAGAGAGGAGGGGTTCCTGTATCAGGTACCAGCTGTGTCTGGTCACGAGACAGTGAGGATATATGAATCATTAGCTTTTGGATCTGCTGGCAATCATGGATCCCCAGTGATGCTGAGGGCCAGGTGATGGTCGGTTGTAGAGTGGCACAAAAAAGTTATATATATCAACTCCTCTGAATCTGAACCTGAACAGTACTCCTGGATTCATCTTTCTAGTAAGCATTTTAGTCTTCCAACAGGAAAAAATACCAAAGTGAACTTATTTTTTAGTGTTCACTTAAAAAAGAAATGCCACTCTGGAAAAACAAGAGGCTTAATGAGATTAACTCACAATTTTTTTGTGATAGTAGCCTGAAGCTGTTTGGTTATGTTTGATTTGTCTTTAACTATAGCTTCAGGAATCTAGAGGCTTCAGGAAGAAGATAAAACGTTTAGAAGAAATTAATAAGAAGTTGGCCCTTGAACTGGAACATGAACGTGGAAAACTTACAGGTCTCAGCCAGTCCAACGCCGCTCTGCGGGAGCACAATAATATCCTCGAAACAGCATTAGCAAAAAGAGAGGCAGACTTGGTACAACTGAATCTACAGGTATTGGACTTTTTGATGTGATAACTTCAGAAAGGAATTGGCTCATACAATACAAAGTTGGTGCATTTATTCCAACTCTGGGTTCCCCATGTGTTGCATAACAGCATTGCTATGAGGGTTGAACCAGAGATCAGAAATGGGACTTGGCACTCAACAGAGTTTTCTTTAGAAATAAAATTAATAAAATTGCACTACAATATTTGTAACAGTGTTGCATATGTGTTACATATGGATTCATTGAGACAAATAGTTTTTATTCTAATAGTTATGCATTAATGTGGACGTAGGCAATGAGCTACCATTTAACCATAGCTACTTGTAAGGTTGAAGGTACTGTGTGGAAAAGTGATCAGTGAACAGCAGATAGTTGTTTTTCAATCCCTGCATTTGCTTGTGTTTATATTTCCTCTACTTCCAGTGAGCCCACACAAAACGGGCATTTGTTTTTGTGCTGTGTTATAGGTTCAGGCAGTCCTAAAGCGGAAAGAGGAAGAAGATCAGCAAATGCAACAACTTATTCAAGCTTTACAGGCTTCCCTAGAGAAGGAAAAATTAAAAGTTAAAGACCTTCAGAAGCAGGTAATGCTCATCTTTTATTTACTTACAAAGTGATTTAAAAGTATTTTGAAATGAAATCTATGTTTTGTAGCATACTGCTTCCTGCAGGGGGTCTCTCACCAGAGCCAGTGACTGAAAGATCAGTTGATGCCTTCTCTGTCGTGTCCTGTGTTAAGCTCCCTTTATGATTCACCTGCAGAGACAAAACAAAGTAAAACTGCATCTTTTTGTCCTGTTAGGAAGCAGCAGCCAAAGCAGATGCAGCCCACAACCGGCGACACCACCGGGCAGCGATGCTCGAGCTCAGTGAGATCAAGAAGGAGCTCCACGCCAAAGAGCTGCTGGTCCAGGCCCTGCAGGCTGAGGTGGACAAGCTGCAGTAAGTAAATGTCTCGAAAAGAACAGTAATTAAAACAAATCCTCTGAAAAAGCCACACATTAGTAAATTATTTGGTTTGCCCTTTTGGGGTGGATTATGTTGAATGTTCCCCAGAAGAACCTGACCACGAGATGCTTGTTTGGACTCTGAGCAAATACCTGCATTTATCTCTCTTTATAATTCAGTTAGACCTGAGGTACACTGTTTTTAGGCTTCATTATCTGCTTTTTTTTTTTTCACTTTCACCACACACTTGTACTATTTCACATTGCTAGTAAGGATTAACACGTTATATATCTCCTATTATTCTTTTTACATCCCTGAGGAACTGCATAGAAGATTAATTTGATTATTGACTGTGTTCCACAATATATTAGAATTCAGTTTGCATCTACACAATTTTTTCTTAAATTATAAAATATTATCAGACCTACATGAAAATGGATATAAGCTTAACCCTAATCCTCCAAAAACAAAGCAAAATTGCTGACAGGGTTTTTTTGTTTTTTGGTTTTTTTGGTCTTTTTTTGCATAATCTGTTGTTTGTAATTGGACTATTACCAGTGCTCAAGAATTTAGTAAAATTCTTTTCAATATTTAATATTTATACATCTCTTTCATAAAATCTGTGTTTTAACTCTTGCTTTATGAATGTGTTGGCAAAGCCCTCAGTCAAAGCTGTAATTAACCAGGTTCCATGCACTTCCAGGTCATGTCATTTATAGTTAACTGGCTAATCCAGTGAAGTTCTGGTTTTATAGAACAGATTGAGTAACTGCTGTGTCTGTTAATCTTGCTGTGCAGGGTAGAGGATGAAAAACATTCCCAGGAAGTATCTCAGTTTCAGCAAGAGCTGGCAGAAGCCAGATCTCAGCTCCAAGTTCTGCAGAAAAATCTGGATGACAAACTTAGTGAACAGCCTCTAGTAAGCCAAGAGGTAAAAAGTGAACACTTACTGTGTTTATCTGTATTTCTATTGCATTGTATGACCTCGTCTTTAATTCAGCATATTTAATTAAGCTTTACTGGGTTTTCTTAAGAAGGTTTTCATTCTGTATATAAGAATATATATCAGATTTTGTGGTTGATTTCACCTGTAGATAAGTCCAGTGATTGTTTTGGGGTTTTTTTCCCCCTGGCAGGTGGAAGACCTGAAGTGGGAAGTAGAACGAAAAGAAAGAGAAATTGAAACACTTAAGCAGCAGCTGGACATGACTGAACAGCGCAGCCACAAGGAGTTAGAGGGGATACAAGTTGTCTTGCAGGTATTTAATCAAAACAATTCTGATGGATTGGAATTTTGATTACTGGAGGGGGATAATTAAAACAATACTTTTATTTTTTAAAAGCATGCCTACACTTTATTCTGAATTTTTATTTTGACTATGCTGTTACCCTTGTATTTCTTCAATCTTTATGCCATTAACATAGGCTACTGACTTTCTTTTAACCAAAACTCTGATTTTCTACCGTGGCAAATTTGTTTCAAGCAGCAGTGTTGTCATTTTTTTCTTCTAGTTTCCTCTGGAAACTGAAAAGATTCTAAGAGCATTAATTGGCTGGAATTTTTATGCTGTTTCTCTACATCACACTGATTCTCTTCCCATTTAGAACATCAAGACTGAGTTGGAAATGGTGAGGGAAGACCTGTCAGTGACTCAGAAGGATAAGTTTATGCTGCAGGCTAAAGTGACTGAACTGAAGAACAGCATGAAGTCACTGCTGCAGCAAAACCAGCAGCTGAAGTTGGACCTGAAGCATGGCAAGATGAAGAAGGTATTTAAACACGAAGAACACGTTGTAAAGTACAGGAAAATTCTCTGCTAATGCTCTTAAATAACCTAACATGAATGTGCCTGTGATTCCTGCTCTGTAGTGCAGATGTGCACCAGTGGCATGATGTGAGACTCTTTCTAGGTGGGAAAAAATATATTAATGAAATAACTTAATTGTATTTCTGACTCTGTTTTTTTTCCTTTAACCAGAGGAAAGAACTGAAAGGTGAGAATAACTCTTCCAATCCTGTGACTCCAGTCAAGATTCCTGATTGTCCAGTGCCTGCTGCCTTGCTGGAAGAACTGCTGAAACCAACAGCTGTGAGCAAGGAGCCTCTAAAGAATCTGAACAGCTGTCTCCGGCAACTGAAGTATGGCCTGTTATTTTAAACCATATTAAAGAATCTTAAAAATGTTTTCAGGAAACCAGCTGCCACCATGAAGAAAAAAGGATTTGTAAAATTAATTCTTTATTGGGTCTATATTTAGGACAGTAGGATGTTCTGTCATTGTAAGTGCTCACTTATATGGTCATTACCATAGTGAAAGAAGACTTTAGAATAAACTAAAAATGTCCATCCTAAATTGTACACAGTAGAAAAAAACCGAAAAAACCAATAAGGTTTTTTTATAATAATAAGCACATTGTATTTGTTTTGCTCTTAAAGAAGGCTGTTCCTAAGCTTCTTGTAGATTTCTTTCTCTTGTATACAGCTGTATCTTAGGTAGTCTTGAAGTAGGTATCAAGAATCAGAAAAGTAATTTTTTGGTCTTGCATTTAGCAGTTAGTTTTCTGCTTGCTAATTTTTGGTTTTTTTTGTTCTCAATACATTCAAAGGCAAGAGATGGACAGCCTTCAGCGGCAGATGGAGGAACACACCATTACAGTACATGAATCAATGTCTTCATGGACTCAGATTGAGGGCAAGTTAATGGACCTTACTTCTACAAGTCCTACAACTGCATCAGACCAGCAGGAGACTCCTACTGCAGATGAAAAGAAAGAGAATTGTAGTGTTAGTGACAAGGAAGCTTTGACACTATAACCTCTCCTTATCAGTTGTCTTTCTTCCTATTGCTTTAAGTATATAAACAAATCTTTATAAAAATTATTTATTTCATTTTTTAAAATGGTGTTCAGAGTTGTGCTTTTGCCTATAGAAGCAAAGGGCACTGATTTGAGAAACTGATGGAGTAGTAAATGTAGAATGTGCTATTCTAAGGGTTTGTTTGAAACCTTGCCATAGCAATTCTGTCATGTTGGGTACTGCCAAGTGGTGAATCTAGCTCATTTGAGGGTTTAGTAAGAGATTCCAGATAAAGGTTTAAAATGAGGTCAAGAGGAGCATCTGGTTTCAGCTATGTAATTGTTCAATCTGGGTGAGTTTGTTAAGGAATTACTGTTAATTATGTAACATCTACGTTTTCTTGTTTGGGTTTGTTTTTTCTTTAATTTGTGGGAGTCGGATGTATTTTTTCCCCCATCTTGGGTTGTAGCCAAACTACAGAGAAAAATAACTTTTTCTCATGTTCAGCCATTAGGAGTGGTTGAGAACTGGATATGCTGAATATTCTCTTGTCCCTCCTATAATCTCTTATTCTTGAAATTCAGATTATAGATATCTGTATTTGAAGGAAAGTAAGTTATTGTAAGCCATTTCCAGTTTTGAAGATGACCTCTGACCTATAGCAGAAGAAACAAGACTGTAAAGACAAGCAATGCAGACCAGTGGTATCTTTGGCAGATTTGCCTGGGATGTTTGCTGATGTTTTTCTCTTACAGTCACAGGCCAGTAGTGAGCTTTGCTTCACTGCACAAATACTTTGCACCTTTTTATTTCAAGTTTTGAAGTAGACACCCATTAAAAAGTATGTGTGTAAAATATATATATATAAGAAAAAAAAAATCATAATTTTCTGACTTTGAATATCTGGTTTAATATGCTTATATACTGTAAGTTAAGGCTACAATGAGGGGTTTTGTTACTGTCATTGTTTTAATGTTATGTTTAAGTTTGCTTTCCTTTGACATACTGTACAAATGGCTTAGGGAAATGAGTCCCTAAAGCCAGAGCTTTTAGAAATATAATTATTTTTACTTTAAAAGACATAATTATAATGCCTATAAAATTATTATTTTTAATAGCTTTATCTTCTCCCACACACTTCCTCTACTTTTTGCCTCCTCTATTCCAAGATATCCACCGTGAATGGAGGTGTTGGTACTGTGGCAGCCCCTCTGCAGAGCACCTTGACTAAGTTATTTTTAAAGCAGCTCACTTTAGTTTCCTCCATCTTTGGTCCTATTGCTCCATGTGGCTCATAATGCAGTGATAAGACAGCTCTCTTCTCACTCTAAAATTCAATGTTGAGGTATTTGGAAGATTTAGTGGCAACTCATATACTAGAATGTTTTTGTCTTTAAAACATAAAACAAGTCAGTTATATCCACTGTAGTTTGGTGTTTACAAAAAAAAAATCTATTAAGTACAAGTGGATTCAAAGGCTGGAAAAAATCTAGTTCATGTATTTTTCCAGAGGCTGTCACTGGTTTTGGGTTTGGTTGTTGCAGAGGAGGGGGAAGGATATTGCATTTTGTTTAGTAGTAAGATGAAAAATAAATAACCAAACAAAACTCCCAAACCCACCTATATTTATCCAAAGTCTGATTTCTCGTAACTACCACTTCAAGCTCTAGTCCAGTTGAACACTTTGCACTACAAGTGTTTATATTGAATGATTTCATGTCCTGCAGCTACCGGATTTTAACTTCGATTTTATTGGGATCAAAGTCAAATGATGCTGACAGTCAAGGTTTTGCAACTGGTAAAGGAAGAAATGCATTGATTTGGCATTACTTGCCCATCAGAAGGATTTACCAAACAATTCCAAGTCAAAAGCTTTACAAACTAGCTTAAGACATGTCTGCACGCTGCTGCAGTCTACTTTGTAGAGTAAATGGTACTGATTATCTTGTTGTTGTCATGTTCTTGAAGTTGCCTGTATATTAAGTTCAAAAAAGAAAAAAAAGCAAACCACAGTATTGTTAAAAGAAAAAAAAAAAAACTTTAATGAATAATATATTCAGTACAAGAAAAGTACCAAATGTCCAGGATTTAAAATACTACTTGTGCAGCGTTAAATGTTGCTGTTCACTTTATTAAATACATTGCCTACAGTTCAGAATCCACTATGTTCCAATCTGTTAGTTTGGCAGTGGTTGTATGGATAAAGGTTTTATCTGGTATCAAAGAAGCCAGAATTGTTAGAACCTTCCTAGTTGTTCTGAATGTCAGCTCTCCTTTTTGTGTTCATTCTGCATCCTGCTGCAGTTTCTCACTAGCTCCTGAAGACATCTGAGCTTGCACAATTTAGCCTTAGATGTCTCTTTCCCTTTCCAAGATGAGGGAGCTGTTGTGGATTAGATTCCTGCATTGATCCAACTGCTTCTGGCAGTACCTGGACACTGGGTATTGTCCTGTTATATTGACCATGTGCTTTTTCTACAAACAGAAACACCATGTCATTTACTTAAAGGAAGGACAGTGAGACTTTTGAGGGTCTAAATCTAGTGAGGTGCCAAGTGAAGTTACAGAAGTCACTGGGAAGTCTTCTAGAAGGAGCAATGCAGTGTGTGATAAAAGCAAGACCTTTTTGAAGCTCATTAGCTGTGGTTTTAATGACCCAGAGAAATAGTTGCTGCTTTATTAAAAGGGTCAATGAGGCTGAACATGCTGTCTACAAAGTTTCAGGTCTCTGCTGTCTAGGCAATAAAATAACTTAGTTGTAGGAATGAAAATTGTCTCCCCTCTGCCTGTCACAGCACTGCCAAATAATCAGGAGAATCTGAAGAATAATCTCCTAAAAATTTATTTTCCTTTTTTAAGCACTGCAATAGAATGTATTTTCTGTGTTTCTTCAGTGGTTGCTACATACTAAACCAAATCTAGCTAATGAAGGAGAAATGTCACTGCAATGTGAGAATGTTCCCCAGTGCTGAAGGCTGGTAAATGCTGCAGCATTATTTTTTCAGATGCTGTTGAGTTTTTGAGGGCTCTTGAATAACTGTGCATGTAAAACAAAAATGACAACAAAGACCAGCAAACCCTACAATAGAATAAAATGTTACTGAGTCTCTGGCATTGCTGAATATTGCATAATGCTCTATTCTATTGTCTTCCTTGATTTCTTGGAAATATTTGTGCACTGTATTGGGATCAGCTAAGACCCCTATCCATTCATGCAATGGGAGGATCTGATCCCATACTGTTTATTCAGGCAATATCCTAGCAGAAATCCATGAGATTTTAATGTGTAAAGTAATATCCAGGATGAATGTTCTACTGTTCATATTGTCATGGATTATATATTCCTCCTTAGGGGAGACAACTGCAGTGCACGGCTATTTTAGTGTTAGCTGTGACAACATCAAAGGTGTGCTGGGGACAGATAGTATTACCAACATAAATTTACCTTAAAGATGACAAATTCACTCCTGGTGATGCAGAAGCTTGTGATGTACATTTTATTAACTTTGCAGGGAAAGTGGGAATAGCTGCATGTGACTTGCTGTGATCAGAGCCTTTAAGTATTTTCATGTGAAAGCAATTGCTGTCCAGAGGAATTACTAATGCTCATCAGCTGTCATCTGATCACTCTGCCTCCTACTAATGAGCAACACTTCAGTCTTGGGCAGTCTCCTTTCCAATACAGATGCACAGATTTCTAGGGGAGGGAAAGATGTTCTGGATATTGTAAATGAAATGGTTCTGTTTCATGTATGACATTCAGTAATGTCTGCTTAGGCTGTATTTGTAAAGATAGAAGTTAACAATTCCATGTTCTTGAAGAATGGATAACCCAGGGGCTGGAGGAGTTACACTATGTACAATTAATGTTTATGATCATACAAAGCATGTTGATTATAAAAATTATGTGCATAGGGATTCCTTTAAAAGTTTTGTGCAATAAACTATTTTTGCTAAAGGGCCCCATGTTGTTTCTACTTTGAAAGACTCACCATTTTCTCTTTGGTTTTCGGCAGTAATTTTTATTTTGAGATCCCGAATATGCTGTATAGCCACCTTTAAGGAAAAAAAAAAAACCTTACTTTGAAAGACATTATTGTGTATTGACTTTTCACACATCTAAACTTCACTCTATTTGTATTTCCATTATACTTTATTTTTCTCGGCTGAACTCATCAGGGAAGAAACACAATTCCTTGGCCTGAATTTGTCAGCCTGTGGAGTTTGAGTGTCCAAAGCGGAACAATGCAGAAGCGTACTCTTCATTGCAATGATGAGGAGAGAAATTCCTGTATCTTGCTTGCAATACTAAAGAGTGTGAGTTAACACGGTTCTATTTTCTCCGTTCAGGACAGCAACTTAAACCAGCCAAGTGCCTGCGCTGCACAGTAAAGTGCCTGTACCCTCAGGTAGGAATGCTGCACTTGCTGGGAGCGCTTGTGCAGGGAATTGTTTCCTTCTCTTGCACTAGAGGCCTCCTTCTCGGTGGCTTTCATCTCTCATGGCTTACCGACACTGCTACAGCATGTTGAGGTTAATACCGGGACGGCAATTTTCTAAAGAGCCCGTGGCAGTGCCCGTGCATTCCCGGTCTCCAGGGCTGGTGGCGCAAACCGTGTGCTGGCGGCGGGAGGAGAGGACAGGACAGGCCGGGCGGGTGCAGTTCAAACCCTGCCCGCCTTGGGCAGCGCCCTCCCGCCCGGCAGCCGCGGAGCTGCGCCGCGTGTTCCGCGTGTGCGGCCCGAGCAGCGAGCGGCGCCGAGCGGAGCCGCGCTCACGGTGAGGCCCGCGGAGGCGGTGGGGCCCCGTCAGCGCCGGGCGGAGCCGCCGCCGCGTCTGTCGGGGGGCGGGCGCGGGGCGGGCGCGGGGCGGAGGAGGTGGAAGCCGCGAGGCCGCGGAGGTACCGTCCCTGAGGGCGTGCGGGCACAGCCGGCGTGCGGCGGGCGGGCCGCGGGCCGGGCATGGAGCGGTGGGTCGGGGCCGCCGGGGGCTGGGATTCGCTGTGGGGAGCCGGCTGGGGCCGATGGCCGTGCTGGGAGCTCCTGGCCGCCTGCGCCGTCATTGGCGCCGTGGGCTGGCTGCTGCGGCTGTGGGACAGGAGGCCGGGCGGCCGCCGGGCGGCGGCGGCGGCGGCGGCGGCGGCCGCCATCTCCTCCCCGACCCCCATGGCGTCCCCGGCTCCCCGCTCCGGCCCGGCGCCGCTCGCCGCGGGGAGCCAGCGCTGCAGCGGGAGCCGCCCAGGTGAGAGACTCGGGGGAGGCCGGGGGGAGGCGCTGGCGCTGGCCCTGGCCCCGCGGGAGGGCCGGGAGTGGGCACCGGGCACCGCCCGGGGAGGCCTCGAGGCCTTTCCCGCTCCGTGCGCGGGCCCGGCCGCGCCGCCCGTTCCCCTTCCCGCTTTGTCACGGCCGGGCCCCGCCGTCTCCGGCTCGGCGGCAGAGTCGGCTCCGCCCGCCCCACCCGGCCCCGCTCCCGGCCCCGCTGCTGCTGCTGCTCCCGCATCCCCTGCCCGCCCGGTCCGCGTTTGGACATAGGTGTGCGTTTCTCCTTCCTGACAAGTTGTCCCTTTTTCCTTCCCTTTCTTCTTCTCCCGTGGCTTATTTCAAGTTTGTTTAGCAGTTCCCTTTCAGCCACGTAGTTCATAACTGGTGGCTCATTTGCCCACAGGCGGTACAGAGAAATCACCCCATCGCCAAGCCACGCTTGCTCTAACATATGCAAATCCTATCAGCCGAATACAGCCAAAGACAGGATGTGACTCTCCATTGCTGCCTCGGGAAAAAAAACAAAACAACCAACCAAAAAAGAACCAACCCAGCCAAAAAGCAGTTTTCTTAGATTACTCATTTATTGCAGGATTTAATGAAAGTAGTAGAGTAAAATAATACTGCCATCCTTAGAGGTCAGTCGTTTATTCTGTCATGGGTCCAGTCTTATTTTTTGGGGGGGGAGAAGATTCTGCTGTTTCATACTGATCCGGTGAGACAAGGGAAAATACATTTCTTGCCTATTCTTCCCGGTTCTGATTGGTTTGGAAGAACCCTCGAACATGCGGTTGTTCTTTAAGCGGTTACTCATATTTGCAAAGGTAACTGGCAAGGCCTTACATGCTGAACTAGAAGAGGTGCCAACCTCAGTGTTGGCTGTGCTCTGGATCATTTTAGTTATATAATAATTTTACAGTTCAAATAATCTCATTTTGCACCTGCATGCAACAAACGGTCAGAGGACTGTCTCAAAACGAGCAGTTGCTGTTTCTCAGGTTAGCAAGTCACACATTTTGTTTTGGACAGGTTAAAATAGGTAATGAAATTAAAAACCAATGATGCTTATCTAAGTTAGCTGAAATCTTATTGTCAGAACACAAACAGATTTTATTATGAGTGTTCTGTGTTGTCATTCCAACAATGTTTTCCCCATTTCAACCCCAAATGCACTGTAGAAAACTCTTCATACCAACGGCAGATCTTAAACCTGATTCCTCACTGCTGGTCTGCTTTGTCATCTCGTTTTGATTCAGTTGTGCCAGAATTGTAATAGACACAGAAAATAAATAACTTTTTTTTTCTTTAAACAAAATTTTGGAGCACTAAGTTTTGGGTACCAGGTTCTCTCAAAACATAAGACAGCAAAAATCACTCACAGCGTTTTTTTGCTTAACCACAAGGCAGGAAGGATGTTTGTGTGTTCCTGTCTACCCTCCATACATGAATTATATACATATATATATACAGGCATGCTCTTCTGCAGAATGATTGTGCTAGTTCTGAACCCTAAAGATAGAAGCATTTCTCAGTTAATTCTTTGAGGCATTATGTTGACTGCTCAAAGTATTTTCATTGAGCTGTTTTTGCGATAAACATTCTCACCCCTGAGTTTTTATCTTTCTTGTCATTTTACAGTTACGTGGTCTCAAAAGGAAAATCCTTAGAATAGCAGGTTTGGATATTTTAATTGACCTTAGGGGCACATCCCTTGATTAAAACATACTGGTATCAAATTTTACTTTAAAATATAGAGGATTAAGAATTGAAAACAAGTGAGAGGATCTCTCACATCTGTCGTTGTAGTCTTGTGGGCAAGTCAGATAATCGAAACAGCGAGGTTGCTTGGAGGCTCAGGAATCACAAGGGAACTACAATACTTTGGGGAAGTGGCTCAGCACATCAGCTGTGGCTCTGCTGCTGTTTGGTAGTGGGGCTTTTCTACTTGGAAATAATCTCATTTCCCATTGTTTCAGCAAGGTTCCAGTTAATACTTGTGAAATATTCAGGGACTGAGATGATGTTGTTCTCGAACCACAGACATTCAAAATAAGATGTTCATAAAAAAGAGACAGTTCTCAAAGGAATGTCCCTCCAAGGAAACAACCCTCAAACTCACATGACTTGTCTTATAATAATTGAAAGACTATTTAAGTTTGGGTTTAAGTACATTTCCATAGTATTTCCTGATACTAGGAATGTGTTTGTTCTGACTCTGATTGCAGTGAAACTTAACGTGGTGTTGTATTGACTGCTGCTGAAAGCTACAAAAACTTACTGTGTGCATTTGTGTTTTTTTAATATATGAAAAGTAGTCTTTAGTTTTGTTAACTGAAGATGAAACCCGAAATTGAAAATAAACTACTAAAACGGCCATGCACCCCTGTCCAAAGCAGTGCAAGCCTCATGAAATGGCTCAGCAGTGCAGGAAGGGGCAGTGTAAGGCAGGAGTGAAGGCAGGCTGAGGAATAGCTCAGCTGAATCATTTCTGTCTGGAGCTTCCCTTCCTGAGCAGTATGTGCCAGGAGAGTCACAGCCTGTGTGCAGGTTTGTAGTACCTGATGAAATAATGTGAAAGCTTCTTACATTCTTGAGCTACCCAAATCTTGTATTTTCAGTTGTGTTTTTTAGAGCAAGGAGTTTGTGTTGGCATCAGCTTGGTTTTAGTATCTTCTGGCTGCCCGGTGTGGAAGCTGTCAGTGTGGATTACATGGAGGGACGTGAGCTGGGGGAATTGTCTCATAGCAGAGAGAAGGATATTCCTATGGAAATGAAGAAATTCTCCCAGCTTCTGTTTTTTGTTGGAGAGGGAGATCTGAAAAGATCAGTTGTTTTTGTCTTCTGGCTGTTTGCTCTCAAAACAGGCCTGGGAAACAACGTGTTGTGTACATATTTCCAGCCTTGCATCACAGCCAGAGAAAGCCTGCCCTGGTTGCTGCCTAGTGCTTAGCCCTTAGACTTCTGTCAGCCAGAAAGTCCTAAGGAAATACTAGAAATAGTTCTGTGCCTTTAGCTGGAGGTGCAGCCCCTTTTCTTGGGACTGACTGGTGCTCGTGTCCTTGTATTGCATTGCACAAATAGATCGTGCCTTTCTTGTCCAGAATCAAGTATTTCTCAATCTGTCATAAATTTTAATGAATAAATGCTCTAGATGGAATTTTCACTTCATAAGAAATTGAAAAAGGGCTACCAAGAATGATATGTAAGCTGTAAATATTCTTTTAGGTACGCCAGAGAGGAGGAAATAAACTTGGTATAGGTCTGGTAACTTAAAAACGTTGAATTGAAAAATATTTTGTCGTCCCTGCACTGCAAGGATCTCTTCAGAATCCCAAGAAATTGCTAAGAGGCACTTTTTCCCTTGTCTTTAATACACCATTTAAGTAGCAGAAGAAAAGTTGTGGTTTTGACAGTTTCTCTCGTTTTTGCCTTTCCTGTAGGTGAGATAACAATGGATACAATATTATCCCGATTAAAGAAGCTCAGCCACGATGAGCTTAGAGAAGAGATTGTGAGAGCAGGACTGAAATGTGGGCCCATTACTGCAACTACGAGGTTTATTTTTGAAAAAAAATTGGCTCAGGCACTATTGGAGCAGCAAGGAGCATTGGAGGAGGAAGGGTCTGCTCTGTCCGAGGAGGCTGCTGGAAATGTCCCAGTGAATCACAACAGCCATGGAAGTGCTGCTGAGGAGGCAGACTTTGGGTACTGTGTGGGTCTGAACCCTCCAGAAGAAGATGCTGTGACACACATAAACTGTTCAGCTCCTGCCTGTGGTGCTGATTCACAGATCACTGCTCAGACACCGTCCAGAGATCCTCCCCTGTTCTATGGTGTTTGCCCAGTTTATGACGACATATTGGCAAGGAATGGTAAATACTCGCTTCCCTTATTTCCAGGGATAGGCATTTTAGTCATGTCTAGTACAATTCTTTTGTGTAGCAGCTGTTCTGAACACCACTGCATTAGTATGTAGGCATTGCTTGAAGTATTTCTTTGTTCCTGTAAACAGTATTTATTTGATCTTCTGAGGCAAAGAAACACATTTATAAGACATCCCAGGTGTTTGCCTTTACAGTTCCTACACATGAGGATCTTCTATCCTGTGTAGCTCAGATGAAGAAAATTATTTTTTATTGCTATTCTGGGACCCATCCTGTGCCCTTAATCTCTCTCAAGAATAAAAAATATCCTGTAAATAAACAATCAAAATAAACTATTTATGCTGTCATCAGTTGAAGCTTAAATGATCCCTTCTAAAAGTTTTCACATCTTCCTTTCTGTTCCTGACGGGAGTAGAGTAGTACACAGGATCATTTCCTCTGAGGCAGTAGTAAGAATTCTTACTAAGAAAAAGTACATTAAGATATCCTTATTGGAACAATATCATTGAAAGGAGAAGAAGTAGGGTTTGTTTATTATCTAAGATTCTCTGTAGAGATCTTAAAGTTATGACAGTGGATCAGTTACAAAGTTGGTCTTTCTGAACAAGGCAGCATCCAGAGATACTGGGTGAATGAGCTCTGAGTTTGCATTTCCATCTGGAAGTGAAATGCTTTGTTGAAGGTGGCCCATCCATGAAAAGGGAGCCCTGTGCAGGGATCACCTGACATTACCTGGAGTGCGTGGGAGGCTCCTGCTCAGTTTCCCAGAAACAGGATTTAAGAGGACTTTTGATCTTTATACCATGTTTGGAAGAGAAACAATCTGAGACCAAAGCTGGAATGATAGTCTAAAAATTCTGTAATGCTATTCTAGGAATTGAAATCTGAGATTATTGAAACAATGTAACTTTGGTGGTTCTTTGTTGCAGAGAGAATACACGTTTATGAAGATAGGAAGGAAGCTCTCCAGGCTGTTAAGATGATTAAGGGTTCCCGTTTTAAAGCTTTTACAAACAGAGAGGATGCTGAGAAATTTGCTAAAGGAATTTGTGATTATTTCCCATCTCCAGGCAAGTCCTCTTTATGTTTGTCTCCAGTGAAAATGGGATCATTTAACAGAGGTAAGTGGGGAACTGACTTCATGTCTGTACAGTAAATGCAATCGACAGCGTTGATTTTTTTTTTTTTTGTGAGAGAAGGAGCAACTGCCTTACCAATATACTAATAACAGTAAAATTCAAAGGGTGAAGCACTGAATAAATTGAAATTTAAAAGAATGTTTAAAATGTGGAAAATGCTTTAAATGTAAAATACAATTGCTACTCTTCTAAAGCTGAAATATAGGTAATGGTCTGTATGGCTTAGTAGTCCATGGTCATATTTGTAGGATTTCATTTTACTCATGGACTTCATGATTTTCAGGATTGATAAGACACTGATAAAATTGCACAGTATATTAAAAGTGTACTCAATTCTTAAGTAAATTTGTAAGTTCAGAAATAAATTGATAAGCGCTGATCATATTTCAGTGTCCCCAGTTGCTAGATTAAAAGGATTCAGGAGTCACAGAACTGCAGAAGCAGTTTTAATAATCAGAAAATTGTTGTTTCTTGCTGAATTTTGCTTTTAAGTTTGGATGGGAACAGACTGGTAATTATAAAGTTTACCAGTCCCCTATTAAAGTCTGAAACAGTTTTACAAGATGATTAATCATTTTCCTCTCCCTCCTTATTACTAACTACTAGTGTATTTAAGTGTCTTGTTACTGAGTTCAGTTTCCTTACTCCTGTATATTAAAGATGCCAAATTAATACATGGCTTAGATTAAAAGCATTGTTTTCATGACCTGGGTGTTCAAATGGTGATCACTGGAAAGAATGTATCTAGAAAGGAGTGATTTGTGTTCTGGTAGATGGTTTATGCTCTCCTGAGAGTGAGACTGCGAATAAGGAGAGAGCCAACAGCTACAAAAGTCCACGGACTCAAGACCTCACAGCGAAGCTTCGGAAAGCTGTTGAGAAAGGAGACACAGCAACGTTTTCAGAGCTTATTTGGAGTAACCCTCGTTACCTGATCGGGTCAGGAGACAACCCAACAATTGTACAGGTAAAAAAAACACAGCAGCAAAATGGGGAAATCCAGGTTCTGGTTTAGTGATGTACCTTTTGAGGCCTGAAAGCAGAATTGGAAGGAATGATGTTTCCTGCTCCTCCTTCAAGACACCTTGTTCCACCCAGTGCAGGGTTTCTCTGTTCATTGACAGCAGCTGGGGCACTTCTCTGTAAGTCACCCTGAGAGCTGCCTTTGCTCCAGCAGAGCTAAAGGAACTGAGTGTGCAGTTCTTCAGGGGAGGAATAGTTGTATTCAGTAGTACAAGAATAGTCTTGTCTTCTTACTCTTTGGTCTCCACCAAGTAATTGCAATCTTTTTTAAAACAGACTAAATTTAAGCACCAGGGTAGGGCCTAGGCTGTAATTAGGTGTTCCTACAGCATTGCTTACTCAAGCACCCCTATTAAATTCCAAATCCATGTATAAGGTGCCATTTAGCAAACACTTAGGATCTTAGTTCAACGTGTATCATACCAGCTTTGTGAAGTTGATGGCATTTTTTATATAATAGAGCAAAGCAGCTTAATTTTTTATGTCGATACCCATTTTCCTGCTCTTTATCTAAACTGAACTTCCTACCTACCTTTATTTTCTAATATTATACCTTTTTTGCCAGATTCTTTTCTTAAATAAAGGCACTGAGTGTAAGAATAATTTCATTAATTATAAGAATAATATAGGTGTAAAGATAAGTCTTCACAAAACTATCCATATAAGACTCAGTGTAGGACCTCAGTGTATTTTCGCAGTTAAATCAGTTACATCTCTGGGTGTAAGAAAGCTGTTTAGATTGAGGTTCATTCTAATATTGGTCTTTTTTTCCAGGAAGGGTGTAGGTACAATGTCATGCATGTTGCTGCCAAGGAGAATCAGCCTGCTATCTGCCAGTTATTGCTGGACACTCTGGAAAATCCAGAATTTATGCGGCTGATGTACCCAGATGACAACGATGTCATGTTGAAGAAACGCATCCAATATATTGTCGACCTTTACCTGAACACTCCAGATAAAATGGTAAGATTTGGGGGGGTACCTCTTTTATTATTGTTATTAGTATTAGTATTATTATGGCTTAAGGATATGCAAAGGAGACTGAACAAGAAAGAAAGGGAGCTGTCTGTGAGTTCTGTGGGTTTGGTAGTCATTATTCTGCACTATAGTGGGAAAAGATTTGTTAAGAGCTGAGGTAATTAGTCATGACATGTATCTACTTTCCTCAGTCTCAAAATCAAATGTGTGGTATTGACTTGGTCATCTTTCTAAGTGCATGTGAATTTTTCCCTTTTTCCCGCTGCAGTGGTTTGATACTCCATTGCATTTTGCCTGCAAGTTTGGGAATTTGGATGTGGTTAATGTGCTTACCTCACACCCAGCCATTGTAAAAAATCCAAGAAACAAATATGATCAAACTCCAGCAGAAGTAAGTCTCTCCATGTCCACAGCAAACCCAGAAATGTTATCTTGATCAACATTTTTCATATTGAGACATTACCATAGACCATATCTACCATAGATAGAAGGCTTGTAGTGAGGTGCTAGTGTCATGATTAAAGAGTAAATTCTGTATAACATTAAAAATATTTTATGCTGATTGTGTCTGTGGAAAAGTTATGGAATTTATGGAGTTGGATGTATTTTAGTTGGTCTGCTATGGATTAAAAGTACTGGATGAGATGGGTAGGGGCCAATAATGTGATTGTTCAGGAAGAACACACATTGCAGTTGATTTGAAAATGAGGTTATTATGCTGCCCTAACAACTAAAATTATATTAACAGGTAGTTTGTGAAAGAAGCAAGAACAAATCTGCTGAATTGAAAGAGAAGATAAGAGAGTACTTGAAAGGTCTGTATGCAGAATTTTGTACTATATTAGGCATGTATTTTGGCTCTTTGCTGTCTTATGTTTGCTTTCCATAGCATTTCAGTTTATAAATGCTGCTGCTGTACAGTGCTCTGAAAACCAAAAGAAACTCTAAAACTGAGCAGGGACAGAGAACTTTCTGTCTTTTAAGTGACAGTCAGAACTCTTACTGTATGTATCACAAGTTTGCTCTCATGGCTCTGTAATGTAGGCAAGGCCCTGATTCAGTAAGCCTGGAGCAGAGTGTTAATGTAAAAGAAACAAAAATTTTTTACAGGGCAAGAGGCGTATCTGTCATGCTGGGGAGTCCTGTAATTTTATAATTTCCTTGACATAGAACTTCCTCTGGTTTGTTGTGTCTATTTAGGCATTTGCAAAACGAGGCTGTGAAATTTATTAAAGACCCTGAGGCAAGGGCTCTGTGGATCATTGCAGGTGTTTTTGTGTTTGAAAGAGAAGGGAACCTACACTAAAATGTGATCTGTAGCCACTGAAGCAGTGAGTCTGAATTACAAATAGTTTTACTAATGAAGTAAAGTGAGATGGTTCAGTATGGGTGCATTGATAGTCCAGGAAGAAGCAGCAGGCTGCTGTAACATAAACTGAATGAGAAAGCTCTCTATGATTTCTTTTAGGTCGTTATTATGTCCCACTCCTGAGGGCAGAAGACAATTCCTCAGCTCCGGTCATTGGGGCTCCCTGGTCGCCCGACCAGACGGACGATGGCCCCCAGAGAACTTGGCCGAAATACCCTGGCAGCCCCAAAGACCCAGTGCTGTCCATCAGGGCTTTTGCAGGCCCCATGAGCCCCTCAAAGGTAAGGAGAGAACTTCCTGTGACTCCAGTGCTAATGCTTCTCTCTTCTCTGAATAAAGATCCCCACAGAGTTCCCTGTGTGGAGCTTGCTCCTGGTACAGGTTGTGGCTCTCTCTTTGCTGAGGAGGTGGATCGTCCTCCATGGAGAAGCACAGAAACTTGTAAATATTTTTTTGTTGCTGAAAACAGAAATGTGGTGTACATCATAAGAGTAGAAGTTCAGTCAAAAATTGTTTTCTTTTCCCTCTCGGATTCTATTCAAAGAGCACCTTTGGCAAACCTTTCATTGCTTACAGATAATTGCTATAACTTTCTAACCTGAAGCAAAGCCTTTCAAGGCAGCTATGAATCAGTTTTAAAAACCTTAACTGTATCTTTATCTCATTTCTACAAGTTGCCACTGGATGCTGGAAGCAGTTTAACCTCTTCTTGTTGAATTAACATTTATGTATTTTTTTAGATGGAAGAACTGACAACCAAGTAGTAGGTATTGGGATGGTTTTGGAAATGTGTTGACTGTATAGTGGAGAAGCAAAACCTTTAGTTTTCAGAAGGAATACTTAGATACCTGTTAAATATATTCCAAACTTACAGATGTTTATTTGACTCATTCATTTAGTGTGAATCTGCTGCAAGTACAACAGCTTTAGAAACAGTGAGTAAATACAGTGGAGGACTTTATGTCATCTGGTGGTTGCATTCTTTAAGACTGAGATCTACCAAAATGCTTAATGCTTTTTCTCCTTAATGTTCTTGGTCAATTTTTTATTCAACTGACAGAAATTTAAATATCATTATACTCTGAAAAATATTATTTAGGGTGTAAACAGTTCATAATTTTGATTGCTGATAGGTACTTTTAATGTCAGAATGTAATTCTTAGTCTTCATTGCAATCTTTGTCATATACAGTCAAGAAGTGCAGGATTTTGCAAGAAATTTCCCTTGAAGCATTCCAACTTCAAAATAGACAGCAAGAATTTATTCTAATAATTGTAGCAAGTCTGTGCATATAAGAATATCCCCTTTGCATCCTAGAAAACAATGACTAGGAAGCATTTGTAATTAAATAGAATGAATGGCAAAATCACAAGACACTTCTGTTTCCTGCTGCACACACATTAAAAGCAGGCAGATGTGGTGTCTGTGCAGTTGATTTTCAGATGATTGTACATTATGGTCCTTCTCTTTCATGAGCAGTCAAAAGATCAAAGTAACCACCAGTAGTGAAAGGAGTAACTTTAGATCCAGTGTGAGATTCTTCACAGCTGGAGTTGAGCAGCACTTGTGGACAGCAAGCAGCTGAACATCTTCTAGACCTATAGGTAGATGTGTAGCCAGCACTGAGTTAGTTCATACTGTGGGGAGTAGTTTTTGAATTTATTTCTGTTTTTTAAAGGCTGAAGAATTTCGCAGGCTGTGGAAGACTCCACCTCGAGAGAGAGCTGGCTTCTTTCACAATGTCAGAAAATCTGATCTGGAGAGAGGTGTTGAAAGAGTTGGAAGGTATCTAAAAGACTGTCAGTATAAAAATTTACTAATAGAGCATATAAAAGCAAAAGACTATGCTGAGAGTACAATTACTACTTACTGCACAGTATCTTGGGGCAAAAGCTACTGCAGAAATATATGACAAAGTATTTTGCAGTTGGATTTTTACTGTATTTTTATGTAAACAAGATAGTTAAAATGTGAGACCTGACTTTCTTAGCTTTGGCAATAAAGATATTTTGGCTATTATTGATGGTATGTATGGAATGCTTTTCACAGGCATTTACTTTCCTCATTTGTCAGATCTAAAACTATGCATAGCCTGTTTGTTCTGTGAAAGAGAGGGATTGTTAAAAGGGACCAGAGTGAAAAGATCCTAATACAAATGTGCTGCTTTATAAAAGCTGTGTGTGTGTGGTGTGTCCCTGCAGTTAAAATACCTTCTAGCAGCAACACATGGAAGAAAATACTTTGTTAAAAGCTGACTGCATTTAATTCTTTAAAATAATCCCTCACTTCCTCTTCCCTCTCCCATTCCCAAATAGAAAAAGCTGGTGAATGCAGTATCAGTGGGGATTCCTCTCTAGCTGATGTCTAGATACAGTCAGCTTAAAGATAGCAATGTTTATGCTGGTAACTGTAAAAATAGTAGATGAAATGTGAAAAATGCTCTAGAACAAATGAGGTGATACTTGCATTGCTAAGGATGTGTCTGCTTTTGCAGACTGTTGATTGTTGTGGGATTGTGTTGCCTGGTTGCATGTTTGTGCTCGTGTTCATAGCTGTTAAAATGTGATCAGAAAAGTTGTTGTCAAACTAATATTTATGTCTTCACAAATGATTCGTTTTATTTTATTTATTGCAGGGAGTTAGCTCATGAACTGGGGTTCCCGTGGGTTGAATACTGGGAATTTCTGGGCTGTTTTGTTGATCTGTCTTCCCAGGAGGGGCTGCGAAAATTAGAAGAGTACCTGAGTCATTGTGAAATGAGCGAAAAGGCTCAGCCAGAAACAGGGGAAAATGAAACCTGCAATAGATATAAAACTCCACATCCCTCTGGTAAGAAAAGAGCAAATGCTGCAAACAATGGGTTGTACCTGGGGACAAGAGGGACAGAAAAAGCTCGGTGCCCAGGGGAAGCAGTATTCACCTGTTGTGGTTGCTATTATTAATCTGTTACACAAACAGTCTGATTACAGCATCAAAAAAAAGAGACAACAACACTGAATGTAGAAGTACAATCTTTATCTTTCATGTGAAGTGCTTTACTTGAGTGTAGCCCCCAAATGAAATCCCTGTAGGAAAACCTCTATCTTCAGTATATTTTCACTCAGAGCATTTGGGCATTCATCTTAAAGTATAGAATTTAGTAATCCACAGATATGGAAAAATAACATTTTAAAAATTAGAGCATACTTCTTTACAACTGTGAGTGTACAAAGGCACAAGAAGCAAAACCAAGGAAAGCTTTTGTACCTTAGACCACTGCTTGCCACATGTGCATTTTGCATTTGTAATTTTAGTCAGGTTAGTTCATGCTGTTACATAAAATCAGAGAGGTCTTTGGGAAATAGAGTAAGGCATAAAGAATGTGTATTTGTTCCTAGCTGATATACTCGACATTCTGTTTAAAGTCTTCTGATGTATTGCTCTTGTTACAATTGTTTATAGGCAAAAGTAAAAAGTCCTGCAATTCCATTTCTGTTGGAGCATTTTTGGATGAGGATGATGATGACATGAGCTTAGAAGAAATTAAAAACCGACAAAATGCAGCACGAAATATCAGCCCCATTCTGGTGTCCAAGGAGCCCAGCATTGATGCCATTGGAGATGCTGAGTGTGATATCCTGTGTGCAGGAAACATCATCGAGACCTCAGCTCACCCTCGGCACTACGAGAAGGGAGCTGCTGCCAGCAAAAATGGGTTTTGCAGTCCTGTCTCCAGTGAAAGGATCATCAGTGACAGAAAGCAGCTGCATGATGGCTCAGAATGCTTCATGCCACCCATTTCCAATTTGATGTCAGAATTTGAAACCCTGTCATTCCAAGAACAAGAGGTTGCAGGAGTATCTCATAAACTCACTGAAAAAACTGAGAATGAGGGAATTCTGGACAAGACTTGCTCTGCAGTGTCACTGGCAAGTTCTTCTGAGCCAAGTGTTACAGGAAAACATGGAGAGACCACATTAAGGACAGACTACAAAACGTTACTAGAAAAGGAGAGAGTGTCCAGAGAATCTGGAATTCAGACTAAGGAGGCACAACAACATCGAGAACTGTCTTCCCAGAAGTTTCTTTCGAAGACTTCACCCACAAATGACAATTTAAAGTTATTCCTTCTTGGGTAAGAATTGCGTTTTCTAACTCTTACTTGCACAGGCAATCTCTTTGCTTATATAAAACTAAGTGGTTTGGAATTGGGGTGTTTTATTGCCTGAACAAATACATGGTTCTCTTTTCATCTAGTTCTGTTTCCATTCTAGGGAGCAGCCGTCGAAGCTGGATGGTGATGTCTTAGCAGCTATAGAAGGAGCAGAGATCGATCCCCAGAAATTCCCAATGATTTACAAATGGAAACGTGCAGTGCAATCCTATTCCTCATCTGACAGGCAAAGGTATTGCTGCAAACTCAGTCACAGGAGTTGAAGTAGATCTTTAGTGGGTCAGCTTGAATAGCAGAATTTCAGACCTTGTTGCGCCCAAACCCATATTTTAAATATTCAGCAGAATCAACTGTTTTCTGAAGTTAATCACCAAAGCCTTTTTGACTGGTGTCTATTGATAAAGAGTTTCCTGGTGCCGCAGTCCTGTCTTTCTATTCCACTGCTGTTCCAATTAATTTGAGCATGTCTCCACAGACAAATCAGACATGACTGTTTTCCATTTGGCCAGTGTCTCCCTTTGCTGATTTGGTACTTGGATCCTTCACTGGACTCAGTGATAGTTGTGCTGTTGGTTTGTACAATTCATCCCTGTTGTTGATGCAGTGCAGGAATGTTGTGTTTGTTGCCTTGTGATACTTAGGTTGTGCCGAGGTATGTTAAGGTGAATTTACTATCTTTAGGCATCTTTTTATTAGTTATTTTTACCCTTTATTACCCCAGTCCAAAGAAGTTGTTCATGTGGAGAATGGTGTATGTCTTATGTGGCCATTTTAAAAGAAATTATGTCTTACTGACTGGGGCAACACATCTGTATAGAATATTTCATGCTCTTCCTGTTCCTTCTCTTCCTCCAGACCTGTCTCCTACCAGATAGGATTTTTCTTAGCTGGTGCATTGGTTCTGAGATCTCAAGTGATTCCGAGTTAAAGTGCTGCTCTCATTATTGCAGATCCCTTTCAAAAGTGTGCATTGACTTCTGGTTTCTTTCAGTTGGCCAAGTCCAGCGTTGAAGGCAAGATTCCAGTCCCAATCCATCGCTGCTGGCCTTCCAAACGCTTCAGGGTATCCCAGTTCAGGAAGAAACAGCCCCATACCAGGAAGTCCAGGAAAACACGGCAGCGCTGCCTCGTTCCCTCCGGAGCCGGGGAGCCCTGGGCGCTACAGCCCCGCCTGTGTCCTGCGCTACTTTGCAGAGCCTCCTGCCCACTAAATACAGCTCTTCATCCCCGGACTTCAGTTCTGTTTTCATTGTTAGAGTGGAGGAAGAACTACAATGTTACTAAGGTGACATGAGGTTTGTACTTGGCTATTTATTTTTCCTCAATTGAGGACAACTGTATGTTTAAAAAATGGAATATATGTCTTAATGCCATATACAAGGTAGATTATTACTGGTGATAAGCAAGAAGTTTGTGACAGTGCAGTTGTCCAGTAGCTGTATTAACGCTTGTTGCCAGTACCACAGTGGGCTGAACTGTCCCTTAGCAATGGTGGTATTTGCTATCACTACTTATGCTCACTGTAATGAACACACAGCCCTCAACTGCCTTTCTTGACCTTGGATAGTCGAGGAAATGCATCATCAGCAAACAGAAGGGAGAGGAGATTGATGGCAGGAAGTGAAACATTCTCCTGCTTGCAGGGGGAAAAGCCTAAAACATGCCTGGGAATGCAAGGAGACCTTTGCATTGTGGAGTAGGGATGTGAAAGCCTGTGCATACAGCAGAGAGTGTTTCCAGCCAGCTGGGCTGGGCAGTTGATTCCCACACCCACCCTCACCTGTCTGTCCGTGTGTGTGCACAGCTCGAGTCTCTGCTTGTTCTGAGGCTGTTACAGACTGAGATCTACTGAGTGCTTTAGAAAAAGTACACTGTAGAAACTATTGGGGTTCCTTTAAGTGGTAGTGGGAAGATTTAAGGAAAACTTAAAAATTAGCTGGTTATTTTTTCCCCAGAGAAGCTGTTAACATTAGCAGATATGAATAGTTATTACACAAAAGCACATCAGCAATAATCTCAGCAAATTTACCAGCAAGATACCTTACATTAATGGTCTAGTTTGTAATATATTAGCATGGTAGCCAGTGGCCCAGGAGGTGGCTATTTCCCAGCTGTAAAGAGAGAGGACTGAGGACAAAATATTTTTATGAAACCTGAGCTTTTACTGTGTCTCTAGTGTTGATGTGGTAATGAAATGAGTTTTTGTTACAGCAGTCACTAATTTTATTCTGCAGCCTTCTGTAAGAATGACTTGTTTTGACAGCATGATGCTGAGAATAAGAAAGCTTTTTGAAACTCCAGAGAGTTCTCCCTATCAAGCCTAGTGCTTGTAATGTTGCGTGAAAGGCTTCCAGAAACAGCTCTCTAGGTAAAAAAAAAAAGAAAAAAAAAGACCTCTCTACTGTTAGAAGATAAATCTGGTCAGAAGATGAAGCTTTGCAGGGCTGTGCTGGTGAGAAGGGATGGATTTGGGTGGTGACCTGGCAGGGCTGGAAGGGAAGGACACCCAAGTTTAGCGGGCAGGAGGCGGGGGGGGGCCGGCCCGGCCTGCCCAGGGTCCCACCCCGCCCTCCGGGGCCACTGCAGAGCCCGGCTGCACACACGGCAGTGACTGTTCGACACAAACTGTGCACCCTCACAGCTTCGTGATTGGTACAAACCTAAACACTGCACTTAATGCTTTTGCAAGCTCAGTAGTGCCTTTTGTAATATATTTTTTTAATTAAGTTTTTTGTTCTTTTAGAAGTTTTTAAAAAAAGTGGCATCCACTTACTATGGGCGGATAAAATACAGTTTTTCTCTGGGCTTTCTGAACAGGATGTCTTTTAATGTCTCAAAGTTGGATTATCTGGTGCAGTAGCTCTCCACGGGGGGAGAGACTTCTCTTTTAGAAATTATTCTTAAAAAAATAAAAAAAGCTTACTTTGTTCTTTTGTTAAAATTGAACCCAGTTCCATGGAGCTGGACATTAAGAAGAGCTACTTTACATAAATCCTTCTCATTCAGTCATATTCCAGACAAGTACCACGGCCCTGGGGGGTGTCATACTTTAGGAAACATGTTTGAAAAAAAACCCAGAGCCAAAACCACAACCTTCTGTTAGCAACTATATTGACTGACTTTTTCATAGGTTTGGGGTGGTTTTTTTTATTTTTTATGTAGCAGGCTCCATGGTCTCAAAATATTTTAATATCTTAGACACCTACAGTTTTAGTCCAAAAGATTCGAGATTGGGGGTTTTTTTGGCTGGGTGGTTGGATTTTTAAAATAATTTAATATAAATTATATCTTTATCATTCTGGAGAAATTGATCATCTGATGTAATTGCCTAATAGCATGTTAGAGCCAAACTGCTGGGGTAAGATGCTGTGGGTGCAGCTGCTGTTCTCCACCCTGGTCCCCTTTTGCTAAGAGTTTGTTACTGAGCCAGGAGACTGATACTAACACTCTAGTTCTTTGTCCTTTTTACGTTTATTATGCTTTGCTTTATTATTTTAATATTTAAATGTATGTTACTGGTATGTACATGTAGCAGACACCCCCCCACACCCACCCCTCTACCCACACACCCACCACACCTTGCCTTTCACTTTGTAATGTTTTGGTTCAGTCAGGAGAGTATTTTTTTAAACTGTGTTATATAATGTGCATTAGTCCTGTTGTACTGCACTTAAGAGGTCATTTTTCTAACAATGTGTTACTTCAGCTATGACAAAAATAGCAATTTATGCAGTGATTTGATCATTTGTGATTTTGTGAAGAAAGCCCTTCAACACTGAGCCTGTGGAGACACTTTAAATCAGAGTGATAGTGCTTGAATTGTGTTTTCTTGGCCAAAATTTCACTTTTAAAGGTGCAAAAAATTAGTTGTGCTTTTGTTGGTTGTTTTTTAATTAGCAAAGTGTCATGTTAAAAATACAGAAGTATCCCACTTTATATTAAAATCAGATGAATAGCTGAAAGTGTCACCCTGTGTTCAGTATGGGACATGGGGAGAAGGAGCTGGGCATGGCAGAGCAACTCACTGCTTTGTGCAGGCCTTGCTCATACAATACCTGCAGCTTTTGTGTGTGTGAACAGTGACAATGGACTACACCACCAAAAACTTCAAAGAAGTGTCGTAGAGTGTTGAAGAGACAGAAACTCAGACGATGGTAAAAAACATAATTTTAAATTTCACACTTTCCACCCCCACCTAAAGTGTCACCAAAACTATTGTTAATTTCTGTACCTGTGCAAAGAGGTGCTGTGGTGTCTGGTGGCCCACCAAGAGCTTGTTCACTGACACAGGGGATGTAGAGGGGGATGTGTGAGAGGGTACATGTGCACACACACAGAAATAAAAATCACAGAATTTTCATCTTAAGGGTGCTGCTGCTCGTGTTCCTCGTGGTGGTGACACAGCCCTGCAAATGGCTGTGCTAGGCTACAGCAGTTCCCCCTGGGGCAGCTCTGTGGCTGATGACAATTCACTGCTCTGGCTCCCACCTCAAGTTTACATTGCAGATGTTTGCTGAAAGAGCTCTTGCCCCGAGCAGTGTGGGACACAACAGGTCCTGCACCAGCAGTCCCTGCTGAGCTCCAGCCACACTTGCTACAGCTGCCCATAAAGCCATTCAGCTGAAGAGAGAGGAAAGACAGACCAAGTATTTTATTCAAAACTTTTAAAAAGTTAATAGACAAAAACTGATAAATTATTCTCATTGCATCAATGAGAGATACGTCATAATGGTTTCCTCTTGCCCTCCACACCTTACACTACACAACAATCAGTTTGTTCCCTACCAGTCCCTGTTCCTTGAAGGTATCCTAATGTAGCAGCAGTTCATTATCAAGCCTTTAAATCCTCTTCTCCATCGGTTGTGTGCCCTGATTATGCTTCATGCAGCTCTGACAGAAGTTCAGCATCTCATCAACATCCTTATTGATCAGAGAATCTGTCAAACAAGTTACTCGTGGCTGCTGTCCGACTTCTGCTTGCTGTCCTACAGTCTGTACTCTCTCCCCAAGGCAGACAATGTATGTGGTGAAATTTCCCAAGCCTCCACCTTATTAACTGAACCAAGTTTCTACATCAATTCAGGTGCCCAGCAAGCTTCAGAATGCTTCTGAGCCCTCCCCTCCCACAAGCCCAGCAGTGTCAGAGCTGTATGAAGGAGGCACGGGAACATTCTGCCCAATGCCTGTCCTATACACCTGCCCTAGACAAGCTGTCCCATGGCCACCTGCTCACCATTCTGGCAACCACAGTTTGCTCCAGTGCTGCAGGACCTCTGATCTGCAGCATCACTACCCTGAACTCAGTGGTGGTATTGCTCTACTCTGAAAGTAAGGTATCAACAACTATAAAACAATGGGAAAGAGCACTCAAAAATATGACATAAACTGAAAGCACTTTAAGAAGATTGCTGCTTTCCTTTCCTCCCATCTTACTGCTACAGTCTCATCCCTACAGCCTTCTCCAGACCGTGTTTTGGTTAAAGGCTTTACAAGACTGAAAAATATTCTTAACTTCTTAAAGGACATCCTGAGGATGGTGGAACACTTAATATAAGCAGCAGTTAGTTCTAGCACCAGAGCTCTGAGGCAAATTTTTTTTACCCTCTTTCCTTTATGCTCGTAACCTCCAGGCACAGTTTACATGGGCTTTTTGGGGGCAGAGCGGAACAATGACACAATATCAACATACACACTCAACAGCTTACAAAAACTGAAGCTTTATCCCTTTGCCCTTAAGACAGCAGAATACCCTGTTTGTCACTTCTGCAGGAGCTGGAACAAGCTGGCTCTCCTTTTGTTTTAGCTGCAGCGTGATACAAGGCTGTTCCCACACCAATCGCTTTCCTGCACAAGAAAAATACCCACAGGAGCAAGCTTTGGTTAGAGAAATTCACAGCGGGGTGGGGGAAAAGTCAGTGCTCTTGCAACTGCTGAGCAGACATTCAACCTGTAATCCACAGCTCAGCTTTGAGTTTTGGGGAATAGTTAAAGATGGGACATGTTCAGGCTTACAATGGTTTCTTCTCTTCTGGAGTGAAAGGCAGATATGAATATGAAGGAGGAATGGGGCTAAAGGACATTTTAAGACAGCATCACACCCCAATGTAATAAAAATCTAGTGGTACTGTAGCAGAATGTGCTAGTGCAAAGAGACTAGAGGCAGCTCCTGGACAGCCATCCATCCACTGTGCTCACTCAGGTGCGTGTGATTTTGTCTGGAGGCATGAAACCTGTGTCACCCAGTGTTCGAAGGGCCACTCTGCCGTTGGGACGTATCACCAAGTGAGTGATGCTGCCGTTGTTGAGAGACAGGCGCAGCCAACCTTCTGGGGGGAACTGCAGTGCTCTGGTGACAAAAACACATATATTAATAATTCCTGAACAGTTAAGATTAACAAGCCTTCACGGCATCACCTTATGTCCCAGATAAGGGGGGGAAGGAGGAGGAAAATCAAAATTGGTGGGCATTGTGTAGTGCATACCAGTGCCCCCAGCCAGCCTTGGAAAAAATCCTTTCCTTGTGGAAGTGCCATAAAACCACAGCATTGGTAACTGGACCGTGGCCAAGAGTGCACTTGGCTAAGCAGGGTCCAGCAGATGGGTGTGATTACTGCTGACAGGATTAGTTCAAGTGGACAGAAGGCAGCAGCTCGAATGCAGTGCCAGGAGTGCTCTGAACAGCCCCATCACAAACAGGGCAGGACATGGCCCAGGCTCCAGCACCACAACACCTGTGCAGGTGGCACAAGACAGAGCTGGCTCAGCACCCAAGGGCTGCCTCAGCAGCGACCAGGTAGATGTGGCAGTGACTGTCACACCCAATTTCAGCCATGCCCCAACAGCAGAGGCAGCAACACAGGATTCCCTCCAGTGGCCTGCAGGGGCCTAGGGAAAGAATTCACCAGAACTACTTCCCACAGGCTACATCATTCCCCTGGAAGGAAAAGTACCTTGTGCCTTCCACAGAAACACAGCATCACAGCTGGTGTGCAGCCATTCTGAATTTCCTAACTCAAAAGCCTCAGGAGCTCCATCAATTGTATTAAAACAGTTGCAAAAAAACCCATGTTGCCTCAAACAGCTCTTGCCTCTGATACTGAGGAATAACTTGGTTTTAACTCTTATGACAGTCTTGTAGAAAGCCCAAGAGATTAAATACCAGCTACAGCCAAGCTAGATTTGAAGGAAATGTTACATGGTTCAATTGTGCTATCAGGTTGCTTGGAATCAAAGGCACAGAAGAGGCATTACAATGAAGAGGAAAGCAACAGCAAAGAGAAAAAGTATGTAAGCATTTCAGAAAAAGCCTTGGCAGGAACAACATGGGGTTTTTTTAGCACAGGAAAGAATATTCTGTTTACCTGATCGATAATTTCAAGTATAGCAATTTTGAAAAGCTCTAAAGGAGCCCACAAAGCAGACAGGCTAGCATTTTTACCTAGCTCAGCTAAATAAAGCTAACTGAAACTGTATTGGTATTGATCAGATTAAAGTTTAATCACATCTGTCCTGCTCATGACAAAGTAACTTACAGACAGTGCTTTGTTGATGGGAAAGAGGAATAAAACAGACTCAGCTGACTGGATACAGAGACAGGCAAAGATCCAGAACTGGTTTCTCCTTTATGAACAAACTTGATGTTATTGGAAAAATCCACTCTCCCCTTAATCCAATACTGGATGTTACTGCAAAAACACACTAATGAAACTTGAATGTAACTCAAAAATATCCATTAGTAAAGAATTCCCAAGACTGAATCAATCTTTAAATATGGAAGCTCAAACTCATGTCACCTCAAAGAGATGCATCCAGTAATGCATCTATTTGTAATCTTTTCCAACAGGCATTACCCTCAGGTTTATGGATGCAGAAGCATATGGTAATTAAAGTAACTGTCCGGATGTACAAAAAAGGTTAAGTTTCACCGACTTAGCCATTTTTGCTTTGGAATTAGAATGAAAGTGTTCTAATTTTCAAAAGGTACCTTGATGAAGCTGCAGAAGCAGCTGCTCACAACGCAGGCATTGATTTCCAACCACTTCAAAGTACTGAAATCAACACATCTCCTCCCTCAGTGGTGCCACAAGGCAGCCCTGCTGAGTGAACCCCCCCCCCCCGAGCAGCCCCAGGTGGGCAGGGCCAGCCGTACCTGCACACGATGTAGCGGATGACGTTGGCGTGGCACACGAAGATCTCGTAGCTGTCCTCCTCCTGCTTGGCATCAGCTCTATGAATGAAGTTCCGAAAAGCAGCCTCAATCCGAGCTCCATCTTCGTAATACTGCTGAAGGCACCGAGGGCACAGTTACACACAGCTCAGAGCACTGAGCCTGCACCCCCGGGGCCTCGTCTCCTCAAGAGCTCCTGGTTACTGCGTGCACACCTGGGGCTCAACCAATGCTCAAGGACTGCAGGCTGTTTTAACTGCTCTGCACACTTACTGAGGAGGAGGAGAGAATGGGTTATCTAAGGGCTGTGGTAACAAACATCAGCTCAGACACTGCAAGTTATTGCTACTGTCCATACAGAGTACACTGAAAAAAAACCCCAAACCATAAACAAAAAAAGACTTTAAAGAAAAATTACCACAGCTTCTGGCTTCCAGTGGGAGACTGGAGGGTCCGGTTCTATAGGTGCTCCCTCTCTCAGCAGATCAGTACTGATTTTTTTAACTCCTGAAATAGTAGATACACATTCAGAAAAGAGTTGTCCACATGCCATTACAAACAGCCCCACAATCCTACAATCAATACATTTTTCAATCTTTCTTTAAGGAAGGCTTACTCTCCATCCTAAAGTCCATTTTAGTCTACACACTTCTGTCAAGGGATGTGAATCTCTCCAACAAAACTGTTTTGCCATCAGCAAGACAACTTATTCCAACTGAACAGAACAACAAGCTGTTTTCCCTGTCTGTTACACACTGAAAAAGTGTATTTGAACTTTTAAAGATAAACTGGAAACAAGCAGAATTACAGCTGTAGGTTTCTTTATAAATACAGACATTTACACAAGGCTGGGAAATGGCTAAATAACACCTCAAATTTAAGGACAAGTTTAGAATTCTACTGGAAGCAGTTTTAAGGATCAGAAGACAATGAAAAATTAAGAGAAGTCTCTTACCTGGGAGATGTTTGCTTATAATTTCAGTTGTTTCAGTTGCTCTCGTCATGGAGGAGTGGATAATCTGATCAAATTTTATTCCCAAGCTTGCCAGCCTGTGTCCTGTCAGTTCAGCCTGCTCTCGACCTTAAAAAGCACATTCATTATCTGAATTGGTGATACTCCCATTAGCACCCCATGCAAACTACCAAGAGAGTTGTCCAGCAGGCATAAAAGGTCTGCATCAATGTTGGGCTTTTTCCTTTCAAAAAACAACTGGAAAACATTTTCATCAGAGCCACTATTCAGGCCAAGCTTACTAGTTACTTGAACAATTTCAAGTCATATTTCCACATCAGTAGGAAAAAAACCTGTTTGTTTCAATTAGGAAAAAAAACACCTCAAAACCCAAAACTTATTCAGCAACTTTCACTGAAGTACTCAATATCCCTGCTAGCCCCATCCCCAGGAAGCAACAATCCCCCTCAGGCCTGACAGTGTGTTGTTGTTCGTAAAGGCAACACCAGCCTGGCACAGTTCTCAGCACGTGGGCAGCCTCAGGAAGGCTCATCCCACCTTTCAGGCAAGCAGGTGAAAAGACAACAGACAGGTTAAGTCACTTACTTAAGGCACAGGATGAGACAGGATTAACATTATGTTTTGTTACCAGTTTAAGACAGCACTTGAGGCCTGCAATTAGCATTTCACTCCTGTTTGCACACCAGTAATTGAGATGTGGGTGGGAAAAAAAGTCCACAGTAATAATTCTTCCCCCTCTGAAAACAGTGTTGGCACATATATAATCAAGGAAATGTTCACTGATTTAAAGTACATTATTAAAAGTAATACTAATTAGCATTCGAGACCTAGTCACAGGATCAGTGAGTTAAGATTAACACAGACAAAGGTTATCCTCATTTCATGTAAGTGATTAGCAGCACTCCCAGAAACAGTGACAGCAGCAAAAGTGCAATGTACTTAATTATAGACACTCCAGCTGAAAGTCAGAGGTGTTTTCTTTTTAATAAATCAGCAGATTAAATTAAGAGAAACACAAGAAAAATCCATCTCAGTGGATGAAGTTTAAAAGCCTCAGCCCTTAGGAATTACATCAACTGGCATGAAAATTTGCTCAAGCAACCTTAAGATAATTTGGAATTTCCTTTGACAAGTTTCTTTACAACTGAGCGTGTTTAGAACTCTCTAAATCACATCTTAATGTTTGGATCAAAACTGAAGAAAACAAACTAATTCATGACATCTTTCTGCCACAAAGAAATAAAGAAAGTAGATTTTGGCAGCAAGATTCAGAACGGTGCTGAGTTACTGACCTGTACTCATCTGGTGAAAAATAATTTCTTCCAAATGCAAAGTATGATGCTGCTAGTGATACCTACCCAGTGGGGTCAGAGTTCTGTCTTTATCAGCCCGGCCATCCAAATTATACTGGGAATGACGGATAAGGAATATGTGCCTGGTGGCTTTTGCTTTGCAGTGATCTAAGCGAGAGGCAAGTTCTTCTTCCCCTGTTTCTTCATTCTTCTTTTTGAGGTTGATAAGAGCCAGTGGTTCACGTCTAAACAAACACATTGAAAGAGTCATTTTTAGACAGGGGAGACGAAGAGGCAGGGGAATTTTACAGATATATAGTCTTAATTCCAGACACAGCTGAAGAACTAAAACTGACAATGTAGCCACTTGTATCATGAAAATGATTCAAGCCTTTGTATGAAAAGTAAAAATAAATGCCTGCATGAAAAAAAAGTTACTGTCACGGGTTAAAAGGTGACAAACTTGACATAGGTAAATTTGCCACTTAGTGCCGTCACCTGACTTAATTCTTGGGAAATAAAAGCAAAGCAATGAGCAACAGAAAAACTTGTAGGGTATAACAGTAGGGGTTTTGACAATAAATCAGGAAGGATACCCAGGAAAAGAGGAAAATACGTTGACTGACCATTAAAGAGAGAAAATATCTAAAAGGCCCTGTGATAACACCTGCAAAATTTGCACTTTATCAATCTCATTTACATCAAATGACTAAAAAAATCAACCCCCCAACAACATCCTAGAAAGACTCCAACCTTCTGCAGTGCACATTGAGAATTATTTTCTGCTTAAACTAGGTCACATCAGGTCTCTCCAGTAAAACTTTTTATGTTTCAGCCTGGAGTGTTTTATTTATCCTTTCATCTTTTTCAGCACTCTCTCCCCTCATGCCACTTTAATTTCTCTTCCACTTGTCACAGTGCACACGAGCACCCTGCTCTGCACATCACCCAGACAGCTGACCCAGTTCCTCCTGAGGACACGGGGATCTTCCCCTATCTCTGCTATCACAGGTTTAGTGCTACAGATCTCCCACATCAGCACCAACTCTGCCTAAACTTTTCCCACCTTAGTCTGGGCCCATCTCTGCACAGATCCTTCACCCCATTAATACAAATCCTTTCTGTGTCATTCCACCTCAGAGTGTGTTTTATTCATATTACACCTCACTTCTTCCATTATTAAACTTGTTTATTTGATTATATTAATGAAAAATAACTTTTATTCCGTTTGGGGCACAGTAATTTGTTCACAGAAAATTGCTGCTTCCCACACCTGTTACTCACAGCAAGACTGGCTGTGCAAAGCCCTCCTGCTTCCATTTTGCTTTACTGAACACATGATTTCCATTAGACAATGAGACTCTACACATTCCTCAAGCTGTTAAAGTTCAGCAAGGCATTAAAAATGAAACAATAGTCCAATAACAAGAAGTTCTATTGCTATTTCACAAGATACTTCTGATTCACTGGAAACTATGCTGCTGGCAAGATACAATAGGAAAAAAAATCTCTAAAATCAATTGAAGCACATTTGAAGCAGCAAGGGGAATAACTCATCTGATGTCTACCATTAAGTATTCCACGTGAATGAAACTAGATCTATCTTCGAGAACTGAGCTGCACTATTCCTGTGCAAGTGGCAGAGACCAACATTCCGAGTGTAACACCCTATCAGACTAATAACAAGTTTGATATTTGCATTTGTTTGTTTCACGCTTGAAAAGCCATTGGTTGTTAAGAATATTATAGTATCTGCTCAAGACTTGAATTTCTAAACATTCCCTGCTCCCAAAGAGCAGCAGTCAGGTATTCTGTGTATTTATAAGCCATTTAACAACTTTGCACATTAAGTGCTTCTGCCAACAACATCCAAAAGTCAAGATTAAGATTTCAAGCAGGCACAACCTAAGCCACAGCACACCAACTGGTAGACCACAAAGAGCTGAAAATAAATTGATCTAGGGTAATATATTCATTCCACTGCCACTGTTTGTACACTGTGACAAATGGTGATTCGCTATTCTGAGCTGCTAGGAAGTATTATCTGGCCATGTTTGGTCAGGCAATGGCGACAGCTCTGTAACTTACAGCACAATCTCTACTTCCTGGATTGGTTTAAAAAAAAATACTTGAGTCTGACAGTACTTCAGAATCTTTGACGAAAATCAACCATGTAGCAGACTCAGGAAGGCCTGGAGCTGCAGTTAAACAAGCAGCTTTAGTACCTCCCTCAGTAAAATTGTGTAACCAGCTGTAATCTTATTTAATAAAGATATTGTTTTTATTACGGGGGCGTACATAGCCCTATTTACATGAGCACTTGATCCTCTAGCCTCTCAAAAATCAAAACGACCCATTATACAATAAAAATCTGCTCGTACTTAGGTTTGGATTTACTATGATTAAACTGGAGTCTGACATAAGTCTCCCCTGGGAGATAATTCTACCAGACTGAAGCTAAACGAGCCAAAGCTCCATGCAGATATCGGCACATTCTAATTAAAGATTCAGAAAAAAACGTAATCAACCCTTGCGTGAATGTATTTCAACGCTGAAGAACGCGAGTGCCTTTCCAACGATTTAAGCCCAGGCAGCCTCATGAGCAGCAGGCCCAGCGCCGGCCCAGCACGTGAGAGCGCTCGGCATCCACCGGGGAGCTGCTAAACCCTGGTGCAGACATACAGCAACATCGAGACATGGCTAAAAAAAAAAAAAAAAAAAAAAAAAAAAGACACGTTTCTGCCTAGCGCTTACATTTATCACAAGCCTGAGGCTTGGCACTCTCGCTGGCTGAAAGCATCAGAATAACGGGATGTGCACTGGGTAAGTCTCGGAGCTGTGTGAACAAACCCAGCGCTGGCACATCCCTCGGAGCACTCGGGCGCTCCAGCGTTCCACGGGTGTTCAGCTGGATTCTGCTCTGAGCAGGTCACCACACGGAATTTCCCCGGCAAACGAGTCCTGGGTTCCTGCCTCGCCTCGGGGCTGCTCCCGCGGGGACCCCTGACCCCCGAGGGGCCCAGCCCTGCTCCGAGCCGTTCCCCCGCGGGGCTCCGCAGAGGGGTCCAGGGCAGCTCCCACCGTCCCCCAACCCCCCGGCCCCTCACCACAGCCGCGACCTCCCCCGGGCGAGGAGGCGGCCCCGCCACCGCAGCCCGGCCGCGCCCACCTGTCCCAGTTGCTGTCCCAGTAGCTGCCGGTGCTGGCGGGTCTCTCGATCCAGCCGGCTGTCGGCGGGCAGGAGGCGGTGGGCGGTAGCAGCAGCAAGCCGGGCGGCGCGGCGGAGGGCACGGCAGAGCCCCCCGGGCGCGGCTCGCTATCGCCACCACCGCGGGCCGGCTGCTTGCCCACGACGACGGCGGAGAGCAGGACGGAGCCGCCCGCCAGCCCGCAGGCGGCGAGCGCCAGGGCACGGCGGACCGACATGGCGGGGCGGCCGCGTGCCCCTCACCGGCGAGCCCGCCCCGCCTCGCCCCGCCCCGGACGGAGCGCGGTGCGGGGCAAGATTCCTCCGTGAACGGGGAGGACGGGGCTGCGCGGAGCCCACCGACCCCCCGGCCCTCACAGACCCCCGCGGGCCCGGCCCGGCACGGCCCCTCTCCCCCAGACGCGGTGCCCGCGGAGCTGCGCCCGCCGCAGGCCGGGCTCAAGGGCTGGTCCTGCCTGGCAGCTCCCAAACCGGCTCCCGCCCCAGCCAGGTCACCGTGTGGGGCTGGCAGGGGATCCCCGCCAGCCCTGCCTGGTTTAATCGCCTGATGCGGTGACCAGTCCTTCAGGGTGGAATAGACCTGTTCGTTGAGTTCAACTACTAACTCGGCACTGCCAAGTCCGTCATAAGCCCTGAGCCTTATCGTTGTGTCCAGCTGCTCCTCAGTACAACAAAGACCAAGAGGCCACAAAGATGAAGGGTCTGGAGCATCTCTTATGAGGGCAGACTGTAAGAGCTGGGCCTGTTTAGTCTGAAGAAAAGACTCTTTTTCATGGGTGCCCAGTGACGGGATAAGGACCAATAGCCTTAAACTGAAATACAAGAAGTTTTGCCTCAACACGAGGAAGAACTTGTTTACATTGAGGGTGGCAGAGCACTGGAGCAGCTGCCCAGGGAGGTCGTGGGGTCTCCTTCTGTGGACACATTCCAAACTCACCTGGATGCGTTCCTGTGTCACCTGCTCTCGGTGACCCTGCTTTGGCTGGGGGATTGGACTGGATGATCTCCAGAGGTCCTTTCCAACCCCAGCGATTCTGTGATTCTGTCACACAGGAATCAATCTCGTACAGGCAGCACTGGGTCGCTGGCACTGGAAACCAGGAACCCACATTTTGGGAAATAAAAAGTGGTTACCAGCCAGGTGGATTCAGCAGAGCAGAGCAGGAGGACTCGTCCGGGCATTCCGGTCGTACCTCTTGTGCCTCTGGTCGGAACACTGCTCACCTCTTCACATGGAAACTCCCTTCAGAAGCTAGAGATCATTACCGCTCCACACATTGCCTTGTGCAGAAGAAAGACGTGGTGGAACTGGAATGTTAATTACCTCACACTGTAATTTTAATTACCTGTAGATGGCAAATGGTGCTGTTTTAACCTCACAACAGAGGCCTCAGGGAGAGAGAATCAGGACAGAGCCCCCTTTTTCTGAGCTGACATCCCAAATTCATCACTGGTTTCTAGCTGTCAGATTCAGTAGTTTGCAAACGGTGACAGAACTGCTGCTGAATGTGGATCTTGGGATGCCAGCAGATTCTACAGATTCCATTATCCAGCCTTTGCTTATTTAATTACGTATTCTTACCACTCCTATACACCTGTTCAAGCTCCAGCTCCATACCCACATTCCATACACCACAAATTCTATGATACTACTCCTGTTGTTCCACTAACATACTAGCTGGGCAGACAGTTTCCAACTGCCAGATTTCAAGCAGTGTGAGTGACTCCGGAGCCACTAAGACCAGAGCCTGTCCCCTGCCGAGCACACCGAGATGTGTTCCCCTGAGCCCTGGAGTGACCAGGCTCAGCCTCCTGCGGCACTGACAGCAGGGGTACAGGGATGCTGTGCCTGCCCAAAATCAAATAGTCTTTCTGTTAAAGTTAAGCCACCTTGCAGCTTTCCCAGCGGAGTGTCTTTCCCCTGTCCACCACTCCGTGTCTCTGTCTCACACACATAAGGAGCAGAGGAGACACATCTGACTATAGCACAAGTCCTTTGGCTCTGGGGCATTTCACAGACCAACTGTGGCTTCCAGGGGTCACATAAAATATGCTGATAAAAATCTGCTACATACCCTCCTTTATCCTTCTTGCCTGCTCATTCTCTGTATTTAAGATACTCATCTTTCTGCTTCTTCTTATATAGCTTTAAAATGTTAATTTTATTATTTTTCTTCATTTTATCTTACTATATAGGCGAGTGTGTGTATTTATACTGTGTATGTTCTTTCTTACCAAGAGCCCTGAAGAAAAAAAACCTCACATCCATTTCCTCCCGAAGTAGCATGGTCCCTTTTCCCCAGGCCTCACTCTCCCAGTCATGCAAATGCTTTCTAAATCTTTTCTTCCACAATACCTTTTCTCTTTTACCTCTAGTAATACTTATTCTCCATTAAATGCTCCCACTTGTGTCCCATTTCTTCCTCTCCAGCCTTCCCTCTAACCTGAATCCCATTTGACCTCCAGCATCTCACAAAAGAAGGAAAAATCTGCACCAGACACCATCACTCACTTGGGAACAGCGACAGGCTGAAGATGGATCAGACAAATAAAACAATTCCTGATAAATCTCTTAGTGGCTTGAACTGAATTCTAAAATCATATAGTTCTGTTTGAAGTTTCAGTGCTATTTGAGGTCAGTTGCTTGCACAAGTAGCTGTCATTTGAAGTCAAAATCCCAGTAATAAACACAGGCAAGTTTCTGGAGTGCATGGCAGTGTCACCAAATGCACCAGGGCTAAGGTCTGCTCATCACCAGAAAAGTTTCAGACTGTTGTTAAGCAGTATCAAAATTGCTTCCCCAGCACAAAAAAAAAGTATTGCTGAACATCTGGGCAATCTCATTTTGCTAGAAAATGAAAATGGATAATATTGATTGTTTGCCTCAGTGCTGCATTTTGGCTGTCATTCTTCTGCACTAACACTTCACCATCAGGAATTTCCTGTGCCTGTGCTCCATTCTGCAGTTTATTTTTTCTTGGACTAGGTACTAATATACTTACACAATTTATGTTCAAAAGTCTTTTGAGATTACATTAGATTTTCCTCAATATGATCAAAAATGTTATTTTAAATTATATTATGTTTACCACTTTTTAAAACTTGAAATTCAGTTAGGTAAAAAAAAAAATCTCAAAAAATAATTTGTTGAAGGTTACACTAGCTTGATATACAGTCCTGTGTTGCACCAATAACTACCCAGATTCTTGCTCTTTGTTCTTTTTATACGTATTTATATTGCTGCTATTGTAATCCAGTTTTATTGTGTTGTATTTCATCTGTAAGCAGAAAATCCATGTAAGAGGATAACAACCTACTGATGCCTACTAATGGAATTATTCTGTTAGAGAAAACAGTAAATGCTTGTGCTACTGATGCCCTAGGTCCAATCCTCAGGGATGATTCCCAGGGGCTTATCCCATTTCTGTGGTTTGATGCAGAGATACCTTCAAGGAGGATGCCCAAGGTTAGGGCAGCCTCTGAACTGTGCTGTGACCAGATCAAAGAAAAGAGAAGTCAGAAAGCCAGCAAAAGGGTGGCAGAAAGGTCAGCATAGGTGGGGCCCAATAAATGGTTTCCCCTGGCAGGCAGAAAAACCCTGTAGCAAAAGCAGCCCCACAGAAGCTCTCAAGGTTAAGTTCACCAGGAATACAAACAGCTCATCTCTGGATGGGGCTTGGATCAGCCCAGGGATGAGTCAGTGTTTGGATGTTTTACCATTAGCTTCAGGGAGAGCAAGGGCAGGTCTCTAGCCAACAACTGGCAAGCAAAGTTTATGAACTTTCAGGCTTTTTTTTTTTTTTTTTTTTAAGAGAAAACAGAGTAATAAAAGAACATTTGAAACAAAGAAAATGTGGGCTTTAATAGCTTCTTCCAAGACCTCAAAAATTTTTCCTCACCACGTGTCACCTTCCCAATGTAGAAAAAAAACATGTAAATTTATTCTTGAAAGAGAAACAGAGAGAGGAAAAAAGTTAACATTATGTCATTTGAACCACATGTATTCAGACATACACTGTGGACTTACTGCTGGCCTTCTTAAAGGAAATATTGATGTCATCCTGGCCTGCTTCACACCCTGCAACATTTAAATGATACACTAAACTTTTGGGTTATAAAATGATGCTACTTAAGCTCACTTAATAATTCATATTTTTTAATGGAGCAAGAGAGAGTACTGCAACTTTGGTTAGTACGATTTGATCAGTTAAAAGAAAAAAGATTTTAAAAAAGATGCTGGCTCCCTGACTGTGCCTGACTGCATTGCTGAAGGGTAACCAGGACAAATACTGTGTTGCTTAAATACAGCACAAAATTTTGGGAGATTGTGGCATGAAAGAAACTCTACATATATATATATATATATATATATATATATATATTATAGCAGTGATTCACATCTTGAATTTAATCTAGATGGTGTAAATCACCTACTAGAGGATTCTTCACATTTCCTTTGACCAGAAAAAAAGAGAGAAGCTTATTTAAGATGAAAGACTTGTCCTCTTCCCCAGGCACACTCTCTATAAGCATATTTAAAAGTAGGCCTTGCCTTATCTAAAGCATACAAAGTCTTTATATCATGAATGATAAATCTATTTCTTAATTTTCCTCTCACAGTCACCATCTTTCTAATTGAACTAGATTGAAATAATTTTTTTTAGTAACAGTGGGCATCACTGTTAAACTGAAGTATCTCAAATACACCTATAATGAACTGCTCTTGTTTCCTGGGACTGAATTGCTTTCCCTACTCCTTTAGTAAGGAGTGAGTGAGACTCTTTAGTACACTGGGACTGAGAATTGAAAAAAAAAAACAGTCTCCTTGCAAGGTCTTGTACTTCTTAAATTGTCCCCAAATGGTTGAGACAGTGACAGGACAGTTCTAGGACCAAGGCCTGTCTTCTGTCTATGTGAAGATTACCTCTGACAGAAAACATAAGAGCTTCTACAGAGGACAAGACTGAAAATGTAGAAAATTCCCTCAGATGTGGGGGTGTTACCTGCCAGATCTGTGTATGCTCTAGAATCACATGGGGTGTACCTTGAATACTACAGGGCATTGGAGATTTCTGGAAATGGCTGTCACCCCATCATGTGCAGGGATTGTGTTTCCAGCCTTAGGTGTCTCTCAGTTTGTTACTGACAAGTCCTTCTCAGTACCTTTGCTTTCAGTCATCTAGAGCCAGAAGTTTTCACTCTACCAAACACATTCAGA